CACATATAAAGGGGTATTCACAAAATCTGCTAAGCGAATAGCACGAGCAGTTGCCTCTCCTTCCAACTACACCGATAACAAAATTAAATAGCGAATGTCCTATAAATCACAGAGATATTTTGACTTTGAGTAATCACAAAAAATAAGAAAACAAATCAAGTAATCAGTATGATCAAATACCAACTAAATGTGGTTCATCAAAACAGATGAAAACTGAACACAATATGTGTCAAACTAGGATGGTTAGTGGTTACATGTTAGCAAATTTTGAAACCAGCATGAAACCAGACATGTTCTATCAGACATTACTCAGTAAATTCTACATAAAATGAACAAATTTGAGAATTTACCACTGCAGGCCTAGAAAGAGCGTGCCCCTCAGGACCAGTTATTCCAAGTTCTATCATTTTCTTTTGCCCTTCATACACAGCATCTCCATTTTCTGCATGGACCATGGCTAAGGCACCAAGAGACTTGCATTTTTTCAATCCTTCTAGAAGAATCTCATCATTGATCATAACAAATCTTTGTATGCCATGAAAAACTTAAAAGAGTTGATCCCCGCAATTACAAAACAAAGATATAACCCCTTAAATAAATTCCACAGAACTCACCCAAGGATTATTGTCACATAGTCAACCAAATTATCCAACATGCAACATGGAAATAATAAATAACGACCTTTCTCCTTGACCATGAGCTCCATCTCTCTTGAAACAGTTTCATCCCATTTGGTAATAACCATATGGAAACCATAATCCATACAAGACTTCTTTGCCCTTTTTTCATAGGCTTCAAAACCAGCTGTCAAACTCCCATTAATTGGTATAACGAAGTCAATGTGCATCGTGATCCCACCTGCTAATGCCGCAGCCTGACCACTGAAGAAGTCATCAAACGATCCAAAGTCTAAGTGGGTGTGAGGATCAATGCCTCCTGTCAGTTAACAAAAAGAGTCATTCAGAGTCTGTCATCATCATCATCATCATCTAAATCATTATTCATTAATTTCTTATCCGTGCAATTTCATGTTTAAAAATAATAATTATACTTTGTGGTAAATTGTCATTGTGTAGGTGTGAGATTGAAACCTGTCATGACATATTTCCCAGTGGCATCTACGACAGTGACGTCATCTCCAACCTGGGAATGGAATCAATGACATCAGAAAGCAGAAAGTAACAAAAACGCGAGTTGTTAGAAAGCACGTGTACCCTGATGTTGGGAACGACGGCAACAATGATTCCATCTTCCACATAAACATCGGCAATGTGTTGTTGGTGAGCATTGACAACAGTGCCACCCTTGATCAACAACTTGGACTGTGGAATCCCAGTTCCAGTTGCAGCATCACAGAACTGAACCATTCACAAACAAAGAAAGATGAATTATAACGGAAGACAAACACTAGAAATGGAAATTACAGTTGAGTGATTAGTGTTTATGATCACCTGGTTCTGGTTGGATTGTGAAAGTGATGAAGGAATAAAGATGAAGAAAGTAAGAAAGAGGATATGAAGAAGAAGGAGTTGTGAGTGTGATCGGAACCCCATACTCTACTGAACTTCAACTGTGACAGAGTGGAAGCTGCTATGTGGGATGGGATAAGGTTCAACAAACATCAATTTGCCTGCACTCATTGTAATCAATAAATTATGTTAAAGAACACTCTGCTGCTGTGACCTTTGAACATCGTATCATGTAATCAATAAATTATGTTTATTTGAATTTATGTTAAAATTGTTAAAATGAAAAATACTTTATGGCCATTTCTTGGATAAATACATCTAGAGATAGACTAAGAAAATGATAAATAAAATATGCAAAAGTAACATGTTGATTGAAATGGTACACCCACCTAGTTCAATTTTTTCCGGTAATCAAATGAAATAGTATTGATTATGAATTATGAATTATTAATTATTTCAATTAATTACTTAATTAATTATATTATAAAAAACAAGTGAATGGGCTAAAGTGTGTTTTCTGAAGTAAAATAAATTAAATCTAAACTACTTTTAAGAAATCTGAAGCCTGCCCAATTATGTTTAGTTTAAAATTAAAAACTTTAGATGATAATTTGGCCAATCCAAGGAAGATTTATTAAATTAAAAGAGAGGTCATAAATAAGAAAGATATATCTTATTTATCTGTCTATTTCATTATTTATATTTAATTCATCTTCTCATTTCACAGGTTGAACAATTGGAGTTTTAAAATCATCAAACACCCATAAAATTATTCACTCATTCTTTGATGTCAAAACATCTCGATACAATCAATTTTTTTTAATTTTTTTTTATAAAATTATAAATTATTTTCATTATTTAATTTTATTTTCTATTTTTATTAATATGAATAACTAAATCTATAACTAATGATGACAGTGAATCTTATAATTCTTTCAGTGCATATTTTCTTTCGTCAATTGTAATAGTCGCATTATTCTTATTCCATTTTCAAGATCCGATCAACTTTAATATCTCTTAGATAATTAGGTAAAATGCGATAGTACCATCATCTAATCAATAGATTTACGAGATAAATTAAACTTAAAATTTGGATGATCAATAAGAATTCTAAATTTTTAATCAATTATTTAGTTAACAAGCTTACCGGATCACTATGTTTCCTTCTATATTAATCATTTTATCTCTTAAATTTATAGTTATTAATATATATTAATCATTAATATTTAATTGAATTTTTTCATACTCAACAATAAAAATACTATTTTAAAATAAATTATATTTTAAATTTATTTATTTTTATTAAATATTTATCATATTTATACATATTATTCATAGCTATATAATTAAATCAAAATATTTTAAAATATTATTATTTAAAATAATTTTATTAATTGAAAATACTATAAAAAATGTTATATATTTATTGAAAATATATAACATTTTGATAGTATTTTAAATAAGAATTGATATTTGGTACGAAAGATACCATAAAAAATTAGTACGAATACGTATTTTTGGTGTTTTGTTGATTAAACATTAAACTGTTAAAACGAAATTTAGTGGATAGAAATCATGCAATTGTGATTAAAATAATTTTCTTGGCTTTCACATCAAAAAAATTGTACTATAATAAGCGTCAGTCATCTTAAATTTGAATTGATAAATATTAATTCTAAAACTGCTAAACATATATCAATAAAATTAACATGTTCGAATATTTAGTTTGCGTAAAATCTTATAAAAATTTTGGCTTCAAAATCTTCACTTGTCACTTGTAAAATGATATAAGAAACTAGAAGCTTTTTTTTTTCGTTATTTTAAAGGATAGTTAAGTTTGTGTTTTATTATACTTAATTTTGAATTATCATTGCTAAGCAGTTTCTGTTTTTAAGATTGGTCAGCATATTCCACTTGTTGTAAATTGTATATATAACATATATTGTATTATAGAGAGTTAAATTAATCCATACAAGTTTTCTATTCATTCTCAACATCTCTATTCTACTTTTAAGCACTACTTGAATACTTATCAAATATATCTTTGTAAGGAAAATGGGTATTACATTAATTTCTTATAATCAACACAAAGCCCTATGACATATTTACATTTCATATTTAAATATAATTCTTATCATAATTTGATCACAAGTACAGTTTTTTACTCCAATATCATAGAAGTTAAGAATAGATTTGTAGTGAATACTTGGTTAAAGTATAATTCTTATCTTGATTCATTCTCAAAGGTTATGAAATAAAAAAAAATACTTATTTTCAAGTTGACGAAAGTTCAAGAATAGATTCATGGTGATGTTTAGTTAAAGTGTTATCAAACAACAAAACATTTTTATTTTTTTGGTCTCTCATAAGTTGCAAATAAGGATATAACACAATCCTTTCAAAATCCAAAAGGATGTGATAACATGATGACCTTCAAAATAACAAAAATTTAATGTGGAAGAGAGAGACAGGGAAACACTATTAATCTTCATATAAGATGTATGAAGAGGATAACAACTTCATTCTAAGATTAAAATAACTATTTATAAAAACAATTAATCTTAAGGGTACACTAATAAACCAGAATCAATTAATCATCATGTAATTGCAACAAAATAAAATTATGAATACCAGGTATATGAACAACAAAAATATATATATTGACACCAATAAGACCCAAAATTCCCCTTTTCCCAAAGAAACTCATAGCATTCTATAAATTCAAATAAATAAATGATTAAAATTTTAATGGGCAGTTAATTTTGTGTTTATTTGGTTCAAATACACTTTTTATCATGTCAGCTTCAGATTTTTATTAAGAAACTAGTCATTTTAAAAAGAAAGGAGTGAACAAAATATTAAGAGAATAAACATAACAAGTAATTGGTTAATTCTTCAAGTAAAAATCATACCAGTAATGTCATCATTCTACTTTAAATTTGAATTAATAAATATCCTTCCCAAAATTGCAAGAGGAAAAGAAAATAACTTTTTAAATTTATTGTGCGTGTAAACTCTTATAAAATATTAAGCTTAAATATTTTTATAAAAGGGTTTAATTAAAATATATTAATTTAAAGTAACACATGCCAAGTATTTTAATTAATTGATAATTTAAAAAATCTATACTAAAAATACATCAAATTAAACCCTTTACAAAATGATCTAATAACAAAATAGAAGTTTTTCTCTAACTAGACAATTTATTCTTTATAAGGAAAACGAGAAATACATTTCTCACGATCATTGCAAAACAAGAGAATAAATTAAGCTTCCATAATTGTTTAAGAATAAGAATAATTCTTATCCCTATCTACATGTGTTCTTCATCAAGAAAAATGAGAAGAATATATGCTTACATGTTACAACTTACAAGCAAGCAGGGTGCATCATAATGCTTCAAAGCAATATTTTACGTATAAATTTGCACATGATCTATCATTTTGCATTGCAACCTAAAATATTTCAACTTGCTCTTTCTTTAATTATACAAAGAGAAAGGGTGTCCAATTAGAGAGAGAGGGAAAAAGCATGACAGACAGTGTAGTAGAAATATTACTAAATGAACTTTCTCGAATAATAAAAGAAGAGGTGAATTTGCAGAAAGGAGTTAAAGATGAAATTAAGAAACTTTCAGATGAACTTGCAACCATGAAAATTTTCTTAAGATTTGCAGAGGTCCAAAAAGAGAACGACCCAATGCTAAAGATATGGGTAGAGCAAGTGAGAAATGTTGCTTTTGAGATAGAAGATGTTGTGGATGACTACGTGCTTCGGATTGCTTCTGAAGATGATGAAGCAGGTACTTGCATATCGTTTCTGTGATTTTATTATTAGCTTCTTTTTTTTTACTGTGTGCTACACAATTTGGTAATTTAGGTTTTATATTGATTTAAATGACTAAGTTAATTACTGGGATATTTAAAATCAAATAAATCATTCTCAAATTGCTAAATTGATATGAAAATATTAAATATCAATTAAACCAAAAATAAATCAAATAAAGAATTACATTTTATATTATAGTTTTTAATTCAATTTTTTGTTTTCGTTGTTAAAATTAAATTATATTTAACTATACTTATACGATTCACTTATTTACTCATTATTAATAGATTTCTTTTTTATTATTGAATTTAGAAATAGTACAAATATTTCAAATTTACAAAAACATTAACATAGGAAAAATAATTAATATTGACCATGTTTGGTAAATTCACAGATAAATTATTGTAACAGAAAAATAATAATAAAACTTCTCTGTTTAAGTTAAACTTATCTCTTCAAATTTTAAATAAGTTAAATGCGAGTAACTTGTAAAAAAAATATAAATTAAATTAAATTTATGAGAAGTGTTTTATTGATTTTGTATATTATTTTTTTTCTCTTATAAAAATTTATCTATCAATTCACGTAAATATAAGACAAATAAATAGGAGTATAGGTAATATTATAGGATACATATATAATTATATATACATCTATGTACATAATAAGGAATACTTTGTGATAACTTTGAATAAATTTTTGTCACATTATAGCTTTCTAAAAATAAAATAAAAATCCCAAAATTATCTAAGAAAAATTATAAAATATTAAAAAACTATTGTACTAACAGTTAAATAACACAATTGTCATAAATAATTTTTTAAAGTCTAAGTTACTAATGTTATTGATTTAAATATCATGCATTAATTCACCGTCGTCATATTTATAATTTTTTAATATTGAATATTAACATTTAAAAATGATTTTTTAAAATAAATAAGAAAATTAACAGTGTAATAATATAGTTTCAATGATATTAATTTTTTTTTAATGTTATCTTATGAATAATACAGTACCATATTTATTCAGTTTAAAGTAAAACATCTTTTTATAAATTTTAAAAAATAAAGTTAAAGGGGTAAAATATCTAAATACGCATAATCGGGTTAAAAAAAATTTTAAACTGGGGTTTACAGAGTAACTAAGAAACCAAATTGATATGAAAAGGGACTGCTGTCTCAGATTTAAAAAGTAAATTAAGATTTAGAAATTAGATTACTTAATTCTGGTCAAACAGTCAGCTATAATGCAAATACGGATGAAAATGTGTAGTATATTTATCTTATAAATAAGTAATTTTTTATGGCATGAAACTCCGTTGAAAAAAAAACTAAAATACAATATTTTAAGAAAAATTATAAAAATATGAGAATTTTTTAAAAATTATTATTTGATCAAAATATATTATGAATATTAATTATTATGAAACTTAATAGCTTTTATTGATGTCTCAGTTTATAATTGAGTAAAATGTGTTATTATAAAGAGTGTATTTAAATTAAATTAAAAAGTTTATGCCCTTGGACCCAATGTTTCTGTTCAAGTTGTTCTGATACGATGTAGGTGGTGCATGTACCACATGTTTCGGAAGCATTTGTTCTGCTTTCAGAAAGTGGAAAGCGAGGCACGAAATCGGTTCTGAGCTACAAAGGATCAGAGGCAGAGTGAATGAAACAGCAGATCGTCCAAAAAGGTATGGCTATGATCCTTCACTCTACAAGAATGGTTCGAGTTCAAGCACTTCGGAGGTGGATCAGTTTCGAAGGGATGTTCCAGCTTTGGTTGATGAAAGGCAATTGGTTGGCATTGACGCAGCAAAGGAGGAGGTGGAGAAATTTCTCAACGATGGTGACCCAAATCTCAGAGTTGTCTCCATTTTTGGCATGGGAGGGTTGGGTAAAACAACCTTAGCCAGACAAATCTGTCGTGACATGTCGTCCCATTTCGAACGATGTGTGTTTGGCATTGTTTCCCAAACCCTGATGGAAGATGAGTTTTTCAAAGATATAACTGAGCAGTTGTTCTCCAGAGATGGAGAAATGTTGGAAATGAAACAATTGTTGCAACTCCCATTGCATCAGTTGAAAGTAAGACTGAGGGAAAGGCTCGAGAATGAAAGGTACTTGATTGTGGTTGATGACGTGTGGAAAACCAAACACTGGGATCAGATTAAACTGTCATTCCCCAGAAACAACCATGGGAGCAGAGTCATTGTTACTACCCGCATGGAAAACGTGGCAAACCACTCTTGCGCGGAGTACGGTGGTTATGTCTATTGGCTACAACCTTTGACTGACCATGATTCTTGGGATCTGTTCTGTAAGAGAACATTCCCAACACAACATTGCCCTTCCCATTTGGAACCCATTTGCAAAGACATTGTTTCTAACAAGTGCAAGGGAGTTCCTATTGCTATATTGGCAATTAGTGGCCTTTTAAGTACCAAAAAGGTGGGTGACGTTGACGCTTGGAAGAACGTCCAAGAGAGTCTTGACATTGAGTTGAAGGAAAATCCTGAACTAGAAATGACCAAAAAGATACTCTCTTTGAGCTTTGATGATTTGCCTTATCACCTCAAACCCTGTTTTATGTACCTGTGTATTTTCCCAGAAGACTCTTCCATAAAGTGGACGAAAGTGATTCGGTTGTGGATAGCAGAAGGTTTTGTGGCAAAGAGAGGTAGAAGAACGGTGGAGGAAGATGCTGCCAGCTATTTGTGTGAGCTTGTTAACAGAAGTTTGATACAAATAGTTATAGAAAGAGAGGATGGAAGTGGAAGAGTAAACTTGTTTCGCATCCATGACTTTCTACGAGAAATTGTTCTCTCAAAGTCAAAAGAAGAGAGATTTGTTCACATGGCAGATGCGATGGAAGTTGGAGCAAGGCGATTATGTATCCATGCAAATGCGATAAAGAGAGGTACTGACATCAACTTACTTTTGGCATTGCCTCAGCGACTTCGTTCTCTGTTAATGTTCTTTAATATCCCTGGTGATGAGGCTGAGAAAAATGCAAATGATACTTTCTTATTGCGTGATATTGGCTTTAAGTTTAATAAGCTGCTTAGTGTGTTAGATTTGGAAAGAGCTCCCTTAGATGCATTTCCTGAAGAAATTTGCACCTTGCTCCTCCTACGGTATTTGTGTTTGAGAAATACTAAACTCTCAAAGCTTCCAAAGTCTATTGGGAATCTGCAAAGGCTAGAAACGTTGGACCTGAGGTACACCTTAATTGTTGAATTACCTGAGGAGATATCAATGCTTCATAAAAAGCTTCGCCATCTTTTGATTTCTCGTTGCCATCAAACCGACAAAATTCATAGGAGATGGGGGGAGGTTGAGAAGGAAATAGTATATTTGTACAGGGAAGAAAATGGGGGAGATTATATTTCATCATATGATAAAAAATCATGTGGTGTGAAGGTAACATGCGAAATTGGAAAGTTTGATTCATTACAAAATGTGTGCTTCCTTGAGGTACCAGAAAAGAGGGAGTGGATGAAGGATCTGGGGAGGTTGACCCAATTGAGAAAGTTGGGTTTAGTTAAATTGAGAGAGGAACAGTGGAGCGAAGTGTGTTCATGCATTTCTAGATTAATAAATTTGCGCTCTCTAATGCTTCAAACAGATTACGAGTTTGAGTTGGAAGATGTGTGTCCACCTCCACACCTTCAAAACTTACATTTGAACGGAAATCTATTCGAGTTACCAAGTTGGGTGTGTGCTGCTTCTCTACAAAACTTGCTTGTATTAAAGTTGATGAATACGATACTATTAAAGGATCCTGGGCCGGCTCTCATGGGCTTGCCCAATTTGAGGAGGCTCGAGCTTTACGAGGCTTTTGGTTATGGCATCAAGATGCGGGTAGTGCTGCCTGGTAATCCTTTTCCAAGCCTTACCACATTGAGACGATATCAGGATAACGTATCTCAAACGATAACCTTTGGGGCGCGGGAAAAAGAAGAAACATGGGAATGGGTTGCCGAGTGGCCAAGTGCTGAACAACAACATTACTCTGGTGTTTCAATTGGCCTAGATAGACGCATTCTCCTCAAGCCCAACTAAAGTCTATGCGTGTTGCATGTAATAATTAATTGTCTGCATATATAGAAAACAACAATTCATGATATATCAAAATGTTCATCCTATCAAAGATCTGAATCATTCAAAAACAAACCAACTAACAAAGATGAGTGATGAGTGATGATCATCTCGTGACAACTAAAGTCTATGAGTGATGATCAAAATTATAATTAACAGTATTATACAACCTATTAACATTATTCTAATTAGCTCTACTATATTAATAAAAGTCAACTTCTATTGTAAAATAACCTAAAATTATATGCTTATTCAAATGTTATAAGAAATAGTTTTATATTGACAAAATAAATTAATGTAAAATCAAAGATATACTATATGTATATATAGAGGATAGTTAAATAAGAAACGAGTAAAATCTTAAATTTAAATTTTTTTTAACCATAGATTCATTTATTATATTTACGCTATTCGAATAAGATTTGAATTAAACTGAATAGGTAATCAAAAAATAATATACTACGTGCGTGTTTAGTTTTTATATAATTAATCAAATATTTATATTTATTTTAATACTATTAATTATAATTTTTTACATATTCTTTAAAATTAATTAAAGGGCATTATTCGTGTAGCGAGGATTCGACCATGTTAAAATTATTAAAGTGAAAAATATTTTAGACATTTCTTTGATACATACACCTAGACATAGATTAAATAAAATATGTGGCAGTTCAATTTTTGAAATAATAAAACGGAACAAGATGAGGTTGAAGAAGCATTCCAGTGCTGAAGCGGTGTAGCCATGGCCTTCACAATCACATCACAGTTTCTTCTTCTTTTTCATATCCTCTCTCTCACCGTCTTCATCATCGTTCCCTCTTCGCTTTCACAATTCAACCAGGTATTTTCCGCTTTCTCTTTTCCGTTCGTTGACTTTCACTCAACTCATTCACTTCTTCTCAATTCTCGTTCTAGGTTTAATCAGTGATCACGTTAATACTGAACCGAGATTTTCGTTTCCACTTTTTTTGAATTATTCAGTTTTGCGATGCTGGAGTTGGATTCGGGGAAACCGCATGTGGAGCTGGAATTTCATCATCTAAGCTGTTGATCAAGGGAGGCACGGTTGTGAACGCTCACCACCAACACGTTGCCGATGTTTACGTGGAGGATGGTGTCATTGTTGCCCTCAATCCTGATATCAAGGTATCTCAATTCCTATGTTTAACCCCCTGTTAGTGATTTCTATCACTTTGTGTTTCTGTTACTTTCAGCTTTCTAATGTAATGATTTTGTTTCCATTTGCAGGTTGGAGATGAGGTTACTGTCATAGATGCCACTGGCAAGTTTGTTATGCCAGGTTAGACCCCAAATTTTCTATCTACCACCTATACAATGATTCACCTCCTGTCCTCTTATCTCTAGTTGATATCTACACTTAAACTGCTATGACTGAATAGATAGAGAATCTGTAGACATAAGATCATGGAAGATACATGTTTGTATCTATCAAATCTTCATGCATCTACTTGGAAATCTTGAATTAAACAATATTTCTGATACATCCCTACAACATAAGAGGTTGGAAAATTACGTTGAAAGTGTCACTTGTTTAATCCATGGAAGTGAGCTCTATTACATTCCATCATGTTGTGTTCCAATATCCCACAACACCAACCCCTTTTTCTGTAATGTATTCTAAACTGGTGGAATTCCTACTCATGCTCTTCACTTTCATCGTCATCGCTTACTTGAAAGACTCTACAGTGTTTTTTTTTTTTTTAAATGTCAGGGGGCATTGATCCTCACACCCACCTAGAGTTTGATTTTATGGACACTACAACTGTAGATGACTTCTTCAGTGGTCAGGCGGCAGCATTAGCTGGTGGGACAACAATGCACATTGACTTTGTTATACCACTTAATGGGAGTTTAACAGCTGGTTTTGAAGCTTATGAAAAGAAGGCAAAGAAGTCTTGCATGGATTATGGTTTCCATATGGCTATTACCAAATGGGATGAAACTGTGTCAAGAGAAATGGAGCTCATGGTCAAGGAGAAAGGTCACATACTATTTTCTTGTTGCATTTTGATAGTTTGGCCGATTATATGGCAATGACCCTTTGGGTGAGTTGTGAGGAATTTATGTCAGGTAGGATATCTATGTTTTGTAATTGCAGGTATCAACTCTTTTAAGTTTTTCATGGCATACAAAGGAGCTCTTATGATCAATGATGAGCTCCTTCTTGAAGGATTTAAAAAGTGCAAGTCTCTTGGTGCCTTGGCCATGGTTCATGCAGAAAATGGGGATGCTGTGTACGAAGGGCAGAAAAAAATGATAGAACTTGGAATAACTGGTCCAGAGGGGCATGCTCTTTCAAGGCCTGCAGTGGTAAATTCTCAAATTTTTTCTTTTATAAAGAATTTACGGAATAATGGAATGCAAATGTTGAGCACTTCTAGTTTCATTTCTTCTTCATTGTCTTACTCTTACCAACCTAGAGTATGTGATTTTCACTTCTCATATTTAAAATTTTCCTTTTTCATCCTAGTGTACTCTCTGCATAATGCATTGGATTTAGGTGCTATACTCTAGCCAAATTAACTGTTTTTAGATGCTAGCTTGCTAGTGTCAAAATTTGCTTACCTGTGACTGCCCTAGTTTGACATTTGTTGTGTTCAGTTTCATGTGTTTTTATGAACTTGTTAAGTCCAAATATCTGTCTGTGTGATTTATTGAGCATTTTCCTCTTTGACTTTGGTATACATGTGTAGTTGGAAGGAGAGGCAACTTCTCGTGCTATACGCTTAGCTGATTTTGTGAACACTCCATTATATGTGGTTCATGTAATGAGCATTGATGCAATGGAAGAAATTGCAAAGGCTCGAAAATCAGGTTCTTAACTGTTATTCATAATTTCCAATATTGTGTTCCACAGTAACAATGCTTTTATTCAAGAGAAAGAGGACAATTGTTGATGACCAGCCTTTGCAAGCTCCCTTCTTGCACAGAGGACCTTTGACCTTTTTGTTCCACTGATTGTTTTCGTGCTGCAGGACAAAGGGTAATTGGAGAGCCTGTTGTCTCAGGGTTAGCCCTTGATGAATCTTGGCTGTGGCATCCTGACTTTGAGACTGCAGCAAAGCAAGTGCCTCACTTTTTTCATTGTATTTTGTTTGTTATTCTTTTTTGTCCAGTTTTAAGAACATAAGCCATATTCATCTCATGTTTCAGGTATGTCATGAGCCCCCCTATTAGGAAACAAGGACATGATAAGGCCCTTCAAGCTGCCCTTTCAACAGGAGTTTTGCAGGTTTCACATTTTGAGTCAAGCTTGGGTTTTGTTTACATTTAAAGATAATGTTTTGAGTTTGAGGATGTAATTGGGATGGTATCACAATGACATGCATCATAGCTCTTTTGATTATTTCTGGTCTCTGAATTATCTATACTTTGTGCCCAATTTTCTTCTCTTTCTAAGGTTGTTTGTTTGACCTAATGATACTTTTTACACATTGCAGCTGGTAGGAACTGATCATTGTGCCTTTAATTCCACCCAGAAGGCTCTTGGGATTGATGACTTCCAGAAAATTCCTAATGGTGTCAATGGTAATCACATGAGGTTCTGGATATTTGTGGCCTAAATACATTCTTGCTGATTTTGAAATCTTTCCTTACTAATATGCATTGCAACCTGACATCTAGGCATTGAAGAAAGGATGCATATGGTATGGGAACTCATGGTGGTAAGATAACCAATTACCAGCTTAGCCCTCCCTTTCTTTTTAGGTTGGGGTAAAATGGAGGAGAGGATAACCTTTTAACTACAATTTATTGTTATATATCTCACAGGAATCTGGCCAAATATCTGTCACTGACTATGTCCGATTGACAAGCACTGAATGGTATATTTTCTGTTAATCAAATTAAAAATTAGCATCTGGTTCTTATGTCAATAAGGGGAATCTCTATTATTTATTTATTTTGACAAAGCTGTTTGGTAAAGATGACAAAAGTATTTCTGATTTTTATTTCTACAATCATTTTAGTGCCAGAATCTTCAATATATATCCAAGGAAAGGAGCTATTCTCCCAGGATCTGATGCAGATATTATCATCCTCAATCCAAATTCAAGCTTTGAGATAACTGCAAAGTCCCACCACTCCAGACTGGACACAAATGTCTATGAGGGAAGGAAAGGAAAGGTACCGGTTTAACTATAATCTGGCCTATCTAAGGATTGAATATGGTTTAATATGGATTTTTCATCCATATCGCTTAATTTCTTTCTGGATTTTTAATACAGTACGAGGGTTTTTTACTTGTCATTTTGTAATTAATTTTGTGCTATTATTAGGCCTAAATGGTTTTAGCTAATTAGGTACATGTGCTATATAGTAAAATAATAATTGGAAGATATAGTCCTATCCAATTAAAGCATTTCACTGATATTGCTATACTAAGTTTGAATTAGGTATGACACATTGGTTTTGCATAGGTACAACCATTCAGTTAATTGGTAATATTAGACGGTTAGAATATATTACATCGTTAGGAAGATTATTTATTTATTGTTTTATAATTGCTGTCTTATTCAACGGGCCATCAATTAGAATATTGCCATTCTGAAAAGCTCGAACTGCCTTTGAAATTGAACTCTGCACTGCCAATAACTTCAACTGGTCTAACTGTGACTTCTTTTTCCCCTAAAGCATATCATTCTATCTCTGTGTCCATCCCTCTTTGAGCTTTGAGTCTCTCACAACTCATTACTTGATCTGTTCATGCTGTGTTCTCTTGCCTTGCTGGTGTCTTATGGCTCCACTCAACATGTGCTTGTGGGTATATTGTTCAATAACTGAAGTCTTGTCAATATCTATATTCTAAGTTTTTGTTGTTTTCAGGGGAAAATTGAAGTGACTATAGCTGGAGGAAGAGTTGTTTGGGAAAATAATGAACTGAAGGTTGTTCCTGGTATTGGGAGATACATACAAATGCCACCTTTCAGTTATCTGTTTGATGGAATGGAAAAGAAGGATGCCTTTTATCTAAATTCCCTTAAAGCCCCAGTAAATCGAGCCAAATCCAGCACTTAAAAAATTTATGGGATTCCTTTTTTGTAAAATCTCAACATTTTACTTGAGGGGAAAACAAAGAAGTGTGTTGATCCAGTTTTCTGTTCAAATAAGGTAAAATATGTATATTTATGCACCGAAAAGCATCATATGTATATTACAATAGATAATAGATATGTTTCGGGCTACCTTTTTCACTGATGTAATGTACATTGCATAGATTTTGTCTAAAACAATTCGAGCAAAAGAGACAATAGTTTTAATAAGATAATGTACAATATAGCAAGCACATTCAGATTATGACAGCTGCTGGTCAGGTTTCTATTGGACTGTGTCTCATGTACATAAATATTGAGTCAGATCCCTAGTGCTTTAATAGCGTGCCAATGGTTTTAAAATCAGGGAAGGGCTATGGTAATACAGTTTACGGCCTAATACAGCAATTTATGTAGGTCAGAATTCTTCTTTTCCCCTGCATGATAACAATCGACAAATGAATTAGAAATTATATTCCTTGATTACACGCTAGTATGATTTCTCTTTCTGGTGGCCCCTCTCTTTTTACAAGCATAAATTGAAAAAATGCACATATGAAAACAGAACGATATTGAAGTTGAAATATATTTCTATTTGTAATTTGTAATCTCTCTCCTTCTCCGACCACTCTCTAGGTTGTATGTTTGCTTTTGACAATACTCCACCTAGGCATTGATCCATGTGCGTTGATCAGGGGTTCATGGACCAAATTTAGGTGTAGTAGTTAGTCAAAAAAGGTATTCTTGTGCAGGAAGTTAAAACACTCAGCATGAAATCTGTGGTCATAAACTAATTTAAGAAAATGGTCTCACCATGACAACGGGTTCTTCATGAGCATGAGCATGAACGTTAGCGTGTGTATGTTGAGCATGAGCGTTAGCATGAGCATTAGCGTGTGCATGTTGAGCGTGAGCATGAGCGTTAGCATGAGCATGATGAGTTTGACCATGATTGGCATTGACGAAGTCCCCTTCACTCCCAAGGCTTTTACGCTTGATTTCAGTCAGGTCGGTTTTCTGATTCTTTTTGTTTGCCCGAGCTTGGGTGAACACCATTGAGTAGTCGGTAGCTCCTGGAGCCTTTTGATCCCACCCTCCAAACTGAGGCACCGACATCATAGCAGGTCTTTTCTGCACAAGGATTATATATTAGTCAGTACCTATGTTGCTTCTCATTCTTCAACGTGCAAAAAGTGGAATTTGTTTCATATAGATTTGCAAGTTGAACTTGCAATGGTTAATACACCCCTGATCAACGCACATTAACCATTTCAAGTTCAACAAGAAAATAAAACGTTTCATTTTGACCTTGTATTGGTTAATACCCCATAATCAACGCCCATTAAACAATACAAGCTCAAGGTGAAAATCCATCCCATGCTCACTGTTGAGTTTTATTTAATTTGGATTTCTAGAGATAGCTTATGTAAATGTTGCTGTTCAGTGTTCAGTCCCATTTGTAAACTATATAAGAGCATCATTATTTGTCCCGTGTTTGTAGAGGGAAAGGGTATGAAATTTGCGTTTCACAATAAGACAAACCCAAGAATAAGATCATTCAAAAATGATATTTATTAAATAATCATTCAGAATTCAGTTACTTAACACCCAAATGGACTAACTTCAAACAATTATTATAAGGAACATCTGACATGTCTACCTGAAAAAAAAGACGAACATGTATAGTAACAAATACAACTACAACTTATAACAACAAATAGCGTCAGGGATTTCCTTTTCCTCCTTATATCTTTTATGTAGATTTTAATATTAGAGTTACCTCCTTCCCTTCCATGGCTGAATGGAGAGGCGAGAAACCAAGGGAATGAATATGGAACTGCGACTATTGTACCAATTAAGGTGTATATTACTGCTACCTTTTCAACTTAGGTGTTCTAGTTATGGGGTATTTAACCATGAGAAACTAGGATAAAACTAGACATTTTGTTATGCTTGATACTCAAAATATCCCAACTTGAACGAGTGGATCAACGGAATTAACGTAACGTATTGGTAGATATGAAATCTTGACAAGAGTAGAAGTAGGACATAAAAATGTGCTTGTCCACTTATTGTTTTCCTTCTGTTTTGAGCTTGTGCAAATTTGGACATTACCACTTATTGTTAAAATATTTCAATAGTTTTGCACCGAAGAAATGTAACTTCACAAAAATAAAATGTATAATAATTCACTTGCCAAATTAATTTCTGGTACATGCCACTTTTAACCTTTAGGTAATTCCAAACAAATGTTAACTAACACTTTTTAAAAACTTGTTTTTACGTTAAACTTCATTGAAAATTACAAAAACTATGTGAGTTTTTTTTTTTATTATTTTTAAATTAATATTTTTTTCTTTCATATTTTATAATTTTTAATAAATTTTAGTAAATAATTAAAAATTGTGAAAAAAATGTTAAATTAATAATGTATTTCTACAATATATTTAAAAAATATTAATTAATTTTTTAATTAATATTTTTGAGGTACTAAATTTTAAGACATTATTTTTAAAAAATATTATTTTTATATTAAAACGTAATGTCCTATTTAGTTAAGATAACTTATCTTGAAGTTCTTCGCATTGCACATATGTTGATGATCTAGTTAATATACTTGCAAAGTCATATTCGTGGCCAGATAGGTTATTGTATTTGAATTTCAGTTTTTATTGGATTTAGAAAAAAAATTATATTATTAAGTTACAAATATTTTAAATGGAATTTATAAAAATAAAATAAAACTAGTTAAATCTAAAATTTAATATAATTGACCTAATTAGGTTGGTTCATTTTAAATGTTCTGTTTTATCGTTCTAAATTAATTTTTTTTTACAAGAAATCCCATAAAAATAGAAAAAAAAAGTGTTACTTAAAAAGTGTAACTAACATTATTTTTAAAATTTATAAAGAAATTTAAAACTTTATTTGAAAGTATTTTTTTTAGTAAAGAGAGAAAATAATAATAAATATGTAATGATTTTTTTTCATTTATAAGTTTTTATACGAGAGAAAGAATTTATAAACCTTTCTAATTTCATAACTTGAAGTTCTTCTAATTTAACAGTTTGTTGTTAACATTTTTTCCTTTATCCTCTCTTATCTTTTAAGCATCTCTTTCTTTTTTTATTTTTATTTTTAATTTTCAAATAAAGCCTATAAGATAAAATTATAATAAATAAAATTTTGCTAGCCTAATTTTAAAGGAAAATGAAAGAAAAATACACAAAATTGGAAAGAATGGTTAATAGTGTAAAAAAGAACATTAACTTCATGTTACACTAACATTAATCAATCATATTGTCATCTAAAATAAGTTTTTACGAAGAGAAAAATTATATTCCAATGCTCATTAATTATCAACCAATGCATAAATTTAGATGTGTTCTGATCTATCATTAAAATAGTTTAATTTTTTAACAAATAATAAGAAAAATGAAAATATGTTATTTTTATAACTTGATAATATTTAATGAAACTGAATTAAAATTATACCCTAAATTTAACCTTTTTTATATTTCTTATTTTTTGTTTAAATATTTTTAACCCTAAGAACATAGCCATAGCCCATATCTTTATTTTTTAAATATATGCAAAAACTGAGCCCAACCCAGAAACTGACCCAACAGGAGTGGCATTTATCTCTTTTATTTTCTCGATTACTTTCAACTTTTCGTTCACTTTCTGTGCATCCAAACAGTAGCGCCGGCAAGCGATGGCGACGATCAGTCTGAGGAAAGGAAACACGCGGTTGCCGCCGGAGGTAAACCGCGTGCTCTATGTTCGGAATCTTCCGTTCAACATCACCAGCGAGGAGATGTACGATATCTTCGGCAAATACGGTGCGATTCGGCAGATCCGCATAGGAACCAACAAGGACACGCGCGGAACCGCCTTCGTGGTGTACGAGGACATCTACGACGCCAAAACCGCTGTCGACCACCTCTCCGGCTTCAATGTCGCGAACCGTTACCTCATCGTCCTCTACTACCAGCAGGCTAAGATGAGCAAGAAGTTCGATCAGAAGAAGAAAGAGGACGAAATAGCTCGCATGCAAGAGAAGTACGGCGTCTCCACCAAGGATAAGTAGATGCGTTTGCCTCTTCCTTCAATTTCTTGGAACTTCCTAGGGTTGTGTTAGGGTTTTCGAGAAAATCACTCTGTATATCTGTGGCGTGTGTTTGGTTCAATTGTATCGTTATTCAAGTAACTATGGATGTTTAAGTTGCTACTGAATAGTATAAACTATAAATATCAAACGTGATGATTTTTCTTCTAAGATGATTCACAGCGTGTTTTGTTTCGCGAAATCTATATGAATCTGTGTTTACTTCGATGCTACCAATTGTAACTTCGAGGATCGGTTACAGGCACTTTAACGCAGTTCCAACTACAACGTGTTGTAGTAATTAGTGTTAATTTCCTTGACATTATTTAGATCTGAATTTTGAGAGCGGAAAGTTTTGAAGTGTTTTCATAAATATATACATATATATAAAATTAACGAATGAACATAGTTAAACGTAGTGTTGAGAAGGTATCAGTACATAAATTAAATCCTCGTGATTTGATTCCTATGTGAGCAGAGATTACAATACAAGACTTGTTACAGATTTTTGCTGGAAAGATAAGGAAAAGAAGAAAAAACAGAACCAACCAATCAAACACCTAGCATATGTTCACGTTTCTCCAAGGTTAGTTCAAGTTGATTTTCCCCTCCAATTTTGTTTGTTTTCCACCTTTACCCATTCATTCCTCACCTACATATCCCCTCCCAACCAAACAGCTACCATGCACGACAGTTCTTGATCTTTTGCTTGTGACATCTGTGCCAGCCACAACCCAGGGCAGAAAGAGATGATGATGATGTCTGTTAAATATCTTTGCATAGCCCCCCAATTAAAATAAGGTTGAATCACGCCTCTTCTTGGTGTTTGTTTCTGGGTTTCCTTTGCTCATCATTGCAGCGAACTCATCGTAGTTAATCCGGCCATCCTGCATGGACATGCAAATTTCCTCGTAAATTCTCTTAACAATGATCAAATCTGCTGTGCTATAGTCTATAGTATGTTAACCACGTGTGTAAAAGAAAGCTACTTGTGTTAGAACTATAACAGTATATTTAATTCATTCAGTATTTGACTTACATTATCTGCATCAACTTCTGAAAGGATTTCGTTGATGTCCCTGCCGTCGTGCATGTTAAACTCTTTGAGAGCTTGCTCCAGTTCTTCAATGGTAATGTACCTGATTATTGCGAAGCAAGTAGATTTTTGCATCAATTAATTTCTGAAGGAGTGGCTATTATATATCCAATCTAGTTGATTTTATTTTTTTCTTTACCCGCTGTTATCTTTGTCAAAGTATTGGAAGGCAGTGTAGAGATGTTCTTCTCTGTTTACTCGGTTCATGTGCATTGTTGCTGTGATGAATTCATCGTAATCTATGGTTCCATTGCCATCAGCATCTGCCTGTAATATGCAGAAGAAAAATGAAAATAATTTAATGGATGGTATTCGAGAAGCTTCTTATGGGCAGAGGTTATTGTCATACAGTACTACGAAAAAGGAGAGATAACTTACAGCTTCCATTAATTGCTTAACTTCCTGTTCTGTCAGCTTAGTCCCTTGTTTTGCGAGTCCTTGCTTTAGCTCTTCAATTGTTATGGTTCCACTGTTGTCAGTGTCCATTCCCCTAAACATCTGCTTCAATCCCATGATTTCTTCCTCTGATAGGCACCCGGCAATGACCTATGCATAACATCATATTACTTACTTTACTGGCTAAAAATATTACATACATGTTTTCCTGAAACGGGGCTAGAATTACTAATGTAATTTAACCAGAAAGAATGGAGAGAAAATCTGCAGAAGTAATTAAGTCAAAGTAGCATTACCCTTAGAGCAACTTTCTTGAATTGGTTCATTGCTCTGAATTGTTTGAGCTTATTCAGCACTGCATTGTCAAGAGGTGTATCCGGTGCTTCTCCATCCTCCTTGATCCATGGATGATCTGTTTTTCACACAAGTGCTTTGTTAGAATTGCATTAACCTATATGTGCAAGCTAAAGCAAAATTTATTTGGAAATCATGAAATCGTGATTCAATTCAAGCAGTTCATTGTAAGGAAGTCAATGAATACACTCACTCAGAACTTGGTAGGCCGTCAGCCTCTGCTTGGGATCCGAATTCAACATTTTCCTTACAAGATCTTTAGCTGCAGGTGAAATGGATGGCCACGGATCGCTTGTGAAGTCAACATGGCCTCGTAGAATGGCTTTGAATATCCCATTTTCGGATTCTGTCAAACCAAGTCTTGGTTTCAGTTTCAATGTTGTGCAGATATACCATCAATTTTAGAGGAAAATGCTATTTCATTCTAATTGAGTGAATGAATAATATAAACCTGCCCAAAATGGAGGAACACCGGATAGAAGAATGTATAACATGACCCCGATACTCCAAATGTCTACTTCTGGCCCATATCTCCTCTTCAAGACCTCAGGTGCAATGTAATAAGCACTACCAACAAGGTCTTTGAACACCTCTCCTGTCAATAAGGGACAAATTTCCTATTAAGAAATGCTTCATTTAGACTTGTATGCTCGTTGGTTTTAATTTCTCCCTATGATTCTTAAATACTACAAAGGAATTATCAATCTATAATTTTTAGGACATAATAATTTAGAGCTCACTGGAAGGTTTTAAAACCTTAGGAAATGTTCTAAAACAATAAATATGTCATGTATCAGTTTTCCATGGAAATTATCTGGCTATAATCAAATTAAACCCGATAACAAACATAGGAAAAGAGGAGACTTAGAAAACCTTGCTTGTAAAAAACTGAAAGGCCAAAATCGGTGGCCTTGAGGGGTGCATTCTCATCCTTGTTCAACAAGAGGAAATTCTCAGGCTTAAGATCTCTATGAATGACACCCATGGAATGGAAAGTATGCACAATCTGAACAATGGTTCTCAACAAGGAAGCCGCAGCACGCTCAGTGTAATGTCCCTTGGCAATGATACGATCGAAGAGTTCACCCCCAGCACACAACTCCATCACCAAATGAACAGATTGCTTATCCTCATACACGCCAACAAGTTCCACAATATTAGGCTGCCCCGAGAGATGGTGCATGATTTGAACCTCCCTTTTAACATCTTCTATATCCTCCTTGTTCACAAGCTTTCTCTTAGCTATTGTTTTGCATGCATATTGCCGCCCTGTGGTCTTGTGTGTGCACAAATGTGTGACACCAAATTGTCCTCTCCCTAGCTCTTTCCCCAATGAATAGGTGCCTCTCACATCCTCCATAGGCTTTCCAAGGACGTGTCCAATTGCTCCTTGTTTTGAATGCTTAGAAGAAGGAGGATGGGTTGGCTTAGATGATGGTGGTGGGGTGGTGGCTGAGTTTGCACCTTCAATAGTGTCATTGTTGCTATGTTGGTTTGTTTCTCCCTCGGGGTCATTGGTGCCACCTGAGCAGCAGTTGCCCATGGTGGAAGGGAGAAAGAAGAACCTGAGAAAAAGGGTGGAAGAACAAGGAGATGAAGAAGAATGGCAAAGATGGTGGATGTTAGAATATTGTTATGGTTTGAGGGTTGAACAAGAATGTTTGGAGAGAAACTAGCATGGAGAATAAGCGTTATTGGGTAAATGAAAAATCTAAAAAAAACTGTGGGGAAAATTAATGGGTGTTAAAAAGGATAGTTGATTAATTATTTACAAATTTGAATGACTTTGATGAAGAAAATTAGAGGAAGGCATTGATAGTGATAGATTTTAGGAAGGAAATAGTCTTTGGCGTGTCTCTTACGTGGGAAGATTTTATGGTTGGGAGTAATTTTCGAAGGTCCCAAACAAAAATGGACTTTGGTCTGTTATAAAGGTCAAATGATCTGGAACAACTTAGCTTCGAGGTGTAAGTCGTTACTAACATCACACATACTTACATAGCAAAATTGTTCATAGTCTAAATATGTCTTCATTCTACTGTCTTCTTTTCAATTTGAGTCAATAAAACTACCTACTTAGAGTATGTTACCTCCATCGGTAGATATATCAATACCACCTCATTTGGTTTAATCTTAGCTGAAACTCATGACTGTAATTTCATATTAAATTTATTATGGGATTGCATCAAAGAGATCGTAAGGAGCTTCATTGGAACTCATCTTATTATCTAGGCACTTTTTTAATAAACATATTTTAAAATAATAAAATTTTAAATCCACATTGATATAATAAATCTATATATTAACCATATTTTGGTTTCAAACGATATATTTATTGAGAAAAATATTCCTAAACAAAAAAGATTGTAATATAAACACTATTTTTTATTACAATTTATTTTAGAAAAATAATGATTTTCTTAACTATTTATAGAAATTTTTAAAATATTTATTTTCAAAATTTAAGGTTAAACAAGTATGAGCTATATACTTATATAAAAATGGTAAATAAATATTGACACACAAGAAAAATATTAACCTTAAATTTGGCTCATATCAGTAATGTCATATCAGAAAAAAATATTAAAATAATTAAAGTTAATTGTAATACATTATGTAAAAAGAATTATATAATCAAGATATTAGAAATCATTCTGATAGATCTTTAAAGTGATTATTATAACAAATAACAAGCTTTAGTTACTGGACAATACATGATTAGATATATATATATATATATATATATATATTATTTTTATCTTATTAGTATATTGAAATTAAATTCATATCATTAGACCATACTAGAAAATAATTTAAAAATAAAAATATTCAATTACAATCTCTTCAACCTAGTTCAGTTGATTTTCATATTCTGGTTTGCCTTCCTTTACCCCCTTACCCTCTTAAGGATTGCATGTTTATTATTTTGTATGCCCTTCCAATGCAACATCAAATCCATTACGCGAAGTTTCTGACAATAATTACAAAATCTGTAATTGGTTGGCCGCATGTTGAATAGGGATAATCACCAAAATGTGTAATCACCAAAACAGATGCTCCATAGATAATTTTGTCAAATATATCAAGCGCATATCACCTTTCTCTCTTAAAGTAATGAAATTAGTCATCCACATAACAAAAAGAAATATAAATTTGTATTTTGTTTTTTTATATTTATCAATTTTTTTTTGCATATTAAAAAAATATGTAAATACTTTGATCCTAACATAATCAAAGAAATTTGTTATTCTATTAGAACTTAGTTCTATTTTTATTTGTACTTTATAAAGTTTGACTTGAAGTTCTAAATATACGACTAAGTTAAAGATGCTTAGCCAGACATAATAAAATATAAAAGATGGGACATAATAGTTGAATAAAAAGAATAACAACAATATAAACTCTTATCTTAATTAAATTTACTTTTAATGTATATCAAAACAATAAATTAGATATATTGTATTATTTTATTTATTTTTAACCAAAATTCTCTGATAAGATAAAGTTTACGCTAAAAAAAATAAAATAAGAGTTTTGCTATTTAGTATGATAAACATTAGTAGGAAAAGTACATGTGCATAGATTTTATGGGTCATGTATAAATTACACAAGAGGAAAAGTAAATTTTATTTGACATGAATCATGAAGAGAAATTATTGGTAACTATTTTATAGGTTTTGTGTAACTTTTTTTTGTACTGAATAACGTTTTTCAAAGATAAAATAATGTTACGAGATAGAGTAATCATATCCAACCTAGTTCTCTTATTCAGTCTACTTATTCTATCCACTAAACAAGTACCTAGAATTTTAAGAGTGTTATTAACCTTCCTAGTTGAAGTGGTGCATTTAATTGTAGCAGAATGGTATGGTGCCTTTGAATATACCAAGTGAAAAGATGGTTTTAAAATAATTTAATTTGCATAAATTGTCTAGTTTTCTTTATAACATAGTACAAAGAGAATATAAAATTATTGATAATAACTGAGTTTGTATTCAAAATACACAACAATTGAAAATAAAATGGAAAAAAAAAAACTAACTATAAATACTACTAAAGCCATAACCAGGATTAGTTTGAGTAAATTTTTAGATAAATACTTATAAAAAAAATAACATAAAAAATAAATAATTTTTTCACATAAATTAAAAATAACTTATACTTCTTAAATTTAAAAGAAATTAAATAAAAAAGCTTTAAAAAAATAAAGTATAAGTTAATATTAACTTATAGAAGATATTTAATTCATTTTATTATTTAATTTTTCATTCTTATAAATACTTATGGAGAAGTTTATTCAAACTAGATCTCGATGAAGTTCATAATTTTACTTATGAAAATAAAACTTATTAAAAAAAAGGGATAAATTTTTAAGCTTTTTCCTAAAAAGAAAACCTTTTATTCATAGCTTTTAAACGTTACCAAATACATTCCAAGTCAATACACCCCTACCAGCCAAGAATAGAAAGGCAAGGTATGGAAAGGGAAATAGACAGACAACTAATTATTGGAACAAATAAAACAAAACAAGTATTTGGAAAACGTAAACAACCTCGCAGCCTAGGCCATCTCCACATAAATTTAGCACTTGATATGAACCTTAATATTGAAATAAAAAAGCCTCCAACTCTTGATTCAAAATAAATACATGTTTATACCAATGTTTATTGGTCTGGAATCACAGAAAGCACGTTATAGAGCTCTAGATTTACTATTATTTCCTATGGTAATATTTGCTCATTCAAAGAATTCCACTTCCTATAAGTAACTTGGACATCTCAAAAAATCTTGCTTGCATGTACAAAGATGGAAAATTGCTTACATGGAATGGAAGGAGGGAAAAAGTAAAGGACTCCCATTGAAGGAAGAATAATGTAAATCAGTATGTGGGTACTGATGGATCAACCTGAACAGCATAGGCATGGATTCCCCCAGAAAGATTGTATACTTTCCTAAAACCCTGAAAAGTTCAAAATCAACAATATAAGTGAAATCATCATGAAAATGAAAAGGGCAGGGGAAAACCAGACATCATATATAAAAAAATACAGGTGACATTTTAAAAATCATGAACATCCTATGTTGACACTTCGTTCATTAAATTACAACAAAAAATTACAAAAAATCATCATGATTTCCTTTTATCAAGTTGAAACTGTTTATTGCATTAGATGTGTAGCGTCTACAGTCCAAAGCATTATCCATCTTATTATAAGCAACAGACGCATATTACATGTTTAAAATTTGTACAATTATACAATATAGCAATAATTGTCTGCATGGCTTGGGAGTTACACTGTGATATCATATCAGTAAGTAAAAAAGGGTGAGGCAAAATGCGTATACACACACTTGCACTCAATGTCTAGACAAAAGGGCCAAAACTTATTTTACCTGTGACTGCAACCACTTGGAAACCTGTAATGACCGCACACCATGATGACACTGCATTCAGAAGTCAAGTTGTTGAATATGCACGAAAAAAATTGCTTCACAAAATCAGATCCTAATTTAAGCATGTTGTACATTACAGAAACAGGTTAACTAAGCAGTCAGTCATGCTACAATATAAAACATCAAACTACAAATTCTGAAGAAAGATATATGAATTTAAAATTCAAAATCAGTGCTTTCTTAAATTTCAGAACAAAGGCCTGTAAAAATTCAAGAATGGACTGCAAAAGCAGGAACCTTTTCAAATAATTCCAGCTTCATTTTTTATCAACTTACAACCTCCACACTAATAAGGAAGGATTAGGAGGACACTAGCATCATGAACAGATCTTTCAGACAAGAACAAAAAAGAAATATCCTCAACCAATTTATAAAACAGTAAGAAAATAGAAATAGTGGTCTTGTGTCCTGGATGCTTTTAGTGAAATTGACACATTTTGGAAGGAAAAGTGTACTTACCATAACATAGGTATCCTTTTGAGGATCAAATTTGGTAGTTATTTCAGGTCCCCAGGTTCCAAATTGTCGGAGGGGAAGAACAGTAAATCCTGGCAAAGATGCTTTGGCCCTGTGTATATTGAGAGTGTCATTTAAATGAAGAAAAACCAAATAAGCTACTAAAGTAAACATAGGCAAGATAGGAGGACAATTAAAAAAACTAAAGAACAAAAAAAGAAAAATGGATGCACAAGTGCATGAGCTACTAAATGAATATCCCAAGCAATCAAACAAAAGTGGATCCCCATTTGTTCCCTGTAGAGATGTCGAAAGAGCACTAATGTTGAAAACTTGAAATGCTCTCAAAATTTTCAATTGAACTTCATACTTTCTCCTTTGTTCAAGCTTATTGCCATATCAACTTATAATCAATCACTTGTGTAGTCTACTTTCAAATATTTAATCAAATGCAATCATAAAATAATTCATTTCAATAATTTCCAAAACTAAATAAAATTAAAGAAAATATAAGCATACACTTCTTCAGGCTCTCGAACATCAATTAACTGTGCCTCCTCCAAAAAGTTAGGATCTTGAATTTTCACATGCAGCTCATCAGGTTGAATGTCTTGAAGAATTGATTCTTCCCTAAAAGTTAAAGGAGAAAATTTACAAGGCATAAGAACACTTCTTAGAACTAACAACAGCAATTGCCAAGTAGTATACCTCTAGGTGATGTTGGCTAATTGAATTGTACAAAGCCATTAGGCTCTATCAAAAGCAAATCTTCAATACACTGACATGGAAATTAAACAGATTTTACTCTCCAGTTCAGAAATATATGCCTGGAAATACCTTTCTGATAAAACCTGCAGCAGGTGCCATCCAAATTTCGTTTTGCACCTAACAACTTTGTTTAAAGGTGCACTAAATGCAGCTTCCTCAAATTCAGGAACCTATCACGTTCACCATCAGACATATTTGCAATCGCATAATCGTTCTATTTTATCAAAGTTAACTTAAAAAAAAAAAAAAAAACAGTTCCATAACCAGATCACTACCTCACCTGCTTCCCTCTACAGAATCATAAGGCAGAAACATCATTAATTAATGAAAATGCAAGAAAAAAACACAATATCTGATTTTCCCCTTTTTCACCTATCCAAAGAAAGTTTATAGTAATTATATCCCTTCCTCATCTCCAACAGAACATAAATACAGTTTCATTTACACAAGACAGTGATACAATATACCTATTGAAATCGCCTTCAAAAGAAGCATAAAAGTGGGAAACCCTAAAAACAAAGTCTAATTATCTTAATCAAAAGAAGCATACCATTTGCCCCTTTCTCACCCACCCAAGCATTCCCCCTTCTTCTTTGGATGGGCACATTGAATATTCCACAGCAAGATCACTCAAATCTTCACCTGAACACACACACAAAAAAAGGCCTTACACTGTGGAATGGGAATCAAACATCCTTCAAAAACCAAACTTTCCTACACATTCACACTCATTGGTATTAACCTGCAGAGATTCTCTGCTGAAGATCCAATAGAAGCTTCTGGTCATCTTCTTTAACCAACAAATGCTGCACCAATATTTCCCTTGGCCTACCACCATCAGCACTACTACTCCCAGTGCTATAAGAAGCTGAAAATTTTGATTTTTTAAAAAATTCTTCATCATATCACAAAGTGTTGACATATAAACAATCTGGGACCGTGGGGGAGATATAAAAAAACAAAAATTAAGAAATGGGGTTTACAGAGAATGAGTGAGTTACCCGATGCTTTGAGAGGCATGACGGAAGCAAAGGGGGGAAGAGGAAGCGAAAGCAAAGGGGGATGAAAACGGAAGGTTGTGCTTCTGGGAAAAGAAGTGTGAGAAGAAGAAGGGAAAGAGGAGAAGAAGAAGAAGGAGGGAAGGAACAAAGAGGGTTTTGGAGTTGCCACCCCCACTCGTAGCTGACAAATTCTCAACATTGCTATTTGCTATTTGGTTGCCCAAACATACACTACACACATCACTCAACTGATTCAGATATAAACACAAAACACTGATCTCATTCTGATTTTGAAAATGTTACTTTTGACCTTTTTATTTTAAGAAACAGAGAAATATGTTTCTTATAATCTGAGGAAAACTTCTATTATCTCTCTTTAAATCACCCTTCATATGCCGTTTTGTTTATTCAAAGCTCAGGTCAGTTACATTAGTTTTCAAAAGATAAAATATTCGATTAATTTTATTTATTTATTAATTAAATTGATGTAAAAAATATTAGATCATCAACCTTTTATCTTTTAAAAATGATATTAATATTTTTTTAGGATTAATATCATCGATTCTAAATCTTTTAAAGAATGAAAGTATTTTTAACAGATTCTAAGTATTAATGATAAATTTGAAATTTATATAAAATAATAAGAATAATTTTATTAATATAAATATAATTATTTATAAAAAATTAAAAATGTTTAAAATAGTTAAGAAATATGTATAAATATAAAAATGAAATAACAACTTTGATATTTAAAATTTAGAAAAATAAATAAATAAAAAGGGGAGAGTGTAATTCACGTAGCAGAGAATTTTAATACTTAACTTCTTACGTAACATGTGAAAATGCTGTTAAACGGTAAGTCTCTTTCTGCCGGGGGTGTTTAGTTTGCCATTCATTTTTATTTTTACTTTTATTCCTTCCTTTTGTTATATTAATTTATGTATTATCCATTTAAATAACATAATTTATGTATTACTTATTAATTTATGTACCCAAAAAAATACAAAGTAATAATATATTTACACATTTCGCATAAAATATATTAATTTTTAATTTTATAAATTTTTATAATTCATATATCTTTTTAAAATAATAATTTTAGTTTTTATTCGCTATTAAATAATGACGTGATTACATCAAATATTTAACGTGTCACTTTTTTAATGAAGTTACGTTAATAAAAAATTAAAATTAATAATTTTTTAAAAATATAGGAACTAAAATAAAAAAAATAATTTTATAAGGATCAAAACTAAATTTGATATTTTAAAGAACTAAAAATATATTTAAACTTGTAATATTTTCGTGTAAATATTATTAATTATTTAAATTTACTTCAAATGCTAAATTAAACTATACTAATCAGAACTTGGGCAAAAATAATATCACAAACTTCAATTTTGTGCGTAAAACAGCTTTAGTTAATCAAACCATTAAATATGACAGAATGCTTTTACGAATTTGTACATGTACAATCACTCCTGCACTTAAGTGATCAAGGTAATAAGAACATGGACTTTTTCTTAGCACAGCCTACATTGTTTCATTATGTCATGTTTAACACACATGTAAAATCACTTTCTTGTCTTGATATTTGAAAAAGTAAAGTGCACACGTAGCTATGGTTTCCTCTACAATATGTATTTCATGCACAGTATTTTTAGTTCTATTTGATTGATGAAAAGGAAGGAGAAGAAACTGTATCACGGTTAAATATACTCTTTAGTCAACAAAATTACTTTTATTCTCCATTCACTTTTTACTTTAGCTTACACCAAAATTGAAGCTGGGACCTCTTTCGTCCCTACTCTTTCTTTGTCACTTGAGCTTAGCTCATCAAGAATGCTTACCAACAATGATTACAAGAATTATGACCATCACAAAAGTGAACCTGAATTAGTTCCTTCTAGTGTTGTACCCTCTGTAATGCTAAACTCTCTAGGTGGAAGCTGAGAAGAAACCATTTGAAGGGGTCCAGGCATAAATGAGTAAGCCTATAATGAGAATGATGGCCCCTGCCAGAAACCCTGTTGGAAGAGACGAGGCAACACCAAGGTATGGCAATGGCATGGTGAACACGTAGATAGATATTGGGACTGCCACAAAGCCAATTTGTATCAGTTGGGTATTCTCATAATTTCACATTACCATGTATTTGTAATTGCTAATTGGTTTACACACACACACACTTCAATAAAAGAAAATGGCTTAAATATACCTATGCTTGGTGCAACTACTTTCATACCTGAAAATGTGGAAGCAAGACAAGATACAACAGCTGAAGAGATCTTGAGGAGATGAAGCAATGCAATATTGAAACCTATGTTTACAATAATAAACAACACAGGCAGCAGAGGGGCACCATCACATCCTGGAAAGTTGAACCAGAAAAACCTTTCTTTCATCACAATTCACCATAATCACATAAAAAAGAAAAAGAAAAAGAAAACTTAGGATTTTATGCCAGCTCATAAAATAATTGTAATTCTTTTAGAAATTTTGCATGCCTAGTAATCTTGCCTTGTGACTTAAAGCAATATACGAGATAGAAAGAGGTAATAAATAAACATTTCATCATCGTTTAATACTAAGCTTGACAAACCAAACCACGCATTTCATCAGCTTTCATAAATTGAAGATTGACATTTTTGGTTTACACCTGCAACCAGTATGGTACAAGTGCTTAAATTGGGAGTGAAATATTCAGGGATGATGAGTTTTCACACAATTTTTCATAGCTCGTCCCTGAAATTTTCACCCTCATCTTTAAGTGGACACCAAACTGACTCCTAGAAATTTTGACAATATGAAAAGGAAATACAGCTTACCACTTGATAAGGCACCAACATTTAGGAAACATGCAGCACCATCTTTAAGGTAGTTTGGTAGTTGACTGAAGGGGATGCCCCATAATTTTGACAAGAAGGGGAGAAGAAGGCATATGAATAGTGCCTACAATAGGCATATGTTCGTGCATTTAGGCATCTATTGCATTTATATTGGAAACACTTCATTGTAGTCCAAAAGATGAATATTTCATGAAAGATTACAGGATACCTACTTGGAAAGCAGATCCATACGAATTGACAACAAACAGGTCCATAGAACCTCCCTGTTTCAGATAATACTGATTAGATATTCCTTCTCAAGGAAAAAAATGAGAGGTTTAAATAAAACTAGTTTAGCAACGTGCACGTTAAAAGTTTGGTTTGGAAGCCTTAAGAGTCTCACACAGTAGAATAATGTATCGTTTAAATTAACTATTAAAATGAGTCCATCGTGTATCACTAAAGCGAAAGCTTTACTACAATTTTAGTAATATAGTTAGTTGTCTGCATTAAGGTTTTGAGGCAAAGGTGCTTGTGAGTGCAGCAGAAGTATTATTGCATATTTCAGGTTGTCAAAATGGCCCAATACTATAAGACCCTTGAATGCCATAATTAGCAGAAACATGATTCCGAACAATTTACTACTGTACCAACCTTCAGTTTTCGAGTTGAATCCAAAAAGATAAGCTCCTGTAAAGTATGAAAAGGCCAATGTTACCATAAAGAAATGGTTTGAAAATTGGGAAAATGCAACAAACATTATAAACAACATAACCTTGAGCACAGTATCAGCCGCTTGGAGCAAAAATGAAACTATCATCAAAAGACTCCAAAATATACCACCTTCCTTTAATGAATTCCCAGCACCAGATCCACTACAATAGAAAACAAAGCTATAAAAAATAAGAACCCCATGGACTAGACAAAAAATTTATTTAGTTTGTACCAGACGTAGCTACTTTATAAATAGCAACATATATTTACAATGTTATAAAATTCCAATAGGTTTACGCAAGTTTTTTCTGTGCAGCATGAAATATGTAACTAAAATTTGAAGTCATTAAGTAGTTTTTGACCAGCAATCTCTTAGAATTCACAGGTTAAAGAACAAACCTAATATATTTGTTTGGCATAATTGTTTCAAGATGCTTAGAGACTTTCAGAATTAGTTTGTTTGCTAATGAGTAGCGACCAACATTGTTGTAGACCATGTTCTTTATTGTAACGTCATGGTTCAAAAATGCATTGCCCTTGATGAGGCCACCATGTTTTAAGATCCTAAAAAATATTACTTATTCTACTGACCTTGCTACAGTAACAACTACACCAATTGTTACAAGAAAGCATCCAAGTAGTTGGTTGACTTTGTATCTTCTCCCAAGAAAAATAATTGACAGGAGTATTTGCCACACTAGAAAAGTCTGCAAGAAAATAGCTCAAATTAACTACCCAGCTTTATTTTACATTTTACTGGAAACCTATGCAAGTTGTATATATATGAACTAAACAGAGATTGAGTTGGTTTAGATGAAAACATTCCCAACTTATATATATGTCAATGTTTAAATTTTTCGATTGATTTTCAGGGGAAATGTTTTGAAGGCTAGGACAACCTGACTAGCCATAAAGGAAGAAACATATCCAACGGTTGATGTCAAAAGTTGTGAATATGAAACAAAGTCATTCCTAATTATTTATCTGATTGATCACTTCAAATTGATTAACTTCTACTTTGATGCACCTAATATGTATGCACCATTCCTGTAGTATCACGATTTAGGAGACTTCTAAGTTAATTTTCATTCATATCTCAATTTTGTATATAATCTTCAAAATTATATATTTTTTAAGATTTGAATTAAAGCCTACTCAACTTTAAAAACTAATTCATAAGGTGAAGATTGCTTTCATTTTTGTAAGCTCTTATTTAGTCATGTTTTGAATTGATACAAGACTACAACCTATTTCATTTAGATATAATAAAATTATAAGATTCGAATAAGAAATTGCTATATTCTAAAACAATCATGCAGAAGCAACAATGAAGAATAGAATTGCTGAATCGTTTTACCTGAGACAAAATTGGAATTGATGCTCCGGAAAGAATTGCTGATACAAGGAAGAGGACAAAAAATGATCAATAGACCGAAAGACTAGAGAAAATTATTAGCATAAGTATTTATGCTGCACATCATCAACACTGTGAAAGCATAAGCATTTTAATTATTTAATAACTTCCATTCTAATGAAATGACCTGCAATATATATTATGAACATTTGTGCAGTGACAAAGGAAAGTTGATGAAATCATGTAATGAATGAAGAAAGGGTGCAAAATTACCTCCTGCAGCCATTCCGGTGGCAGATGCAAGAGCCTCCAACAGACCAACAACAATAAATGGAGTCTTTGGTGCACTTAGCATCTCTTCAGTAACAATGCCCGCATGGTACCGCATGTACAAAATTCCATAGTACACTATCACGTATCTGAAATTAACCATCCCAATATCAAGGATAAATTTAATAACAGAGAAAAACAGAGATTGAGTTTTTCATCCGACACCAAAATAGTACTTTTTATTTTTTTAATATTATTTCGTTTTTATTTATCTAAAATTAAAAATATTAATAAAAGATAAACTAAGAAACTTACTAAATCATTTTAATAAAAGAATTATTTTTTTGGTGAATATACTTTTTTCTTTCAGATAAATAAGAACGATGCAAATATTAACATGATTAACTTCAAATCTTTCATGGGGAAAATGTTTTTTTTTTTACTTTAATATTTATATTTAAATTTTAAAAGCAGAGTACCCGAAAGTGGCAAGCTGAGCAAGAAAGAAAGGGTACTGCTTCAAAGGAACCAAAGCCAACTTATACAGAACCCGGTTCCCCACACCAAGCACCACCGTCGCCGCCGCCGCCGCCGCCACTTCCACCGCCCGGTTCCCTCCTCCGACCATCGCATCGTTCCCGACGGCGTAGGAACAGGGCCCCACCTCCTCCTTCCTGCCTCCCACGCCGGACCTCATCCACGCGCCGCCGCCGAGTCCGGTGGGCCCCACCGCCACGAACCGTATTCTCAAAACCTTCGTCCGCTGGGGAGAATAACTGTAACGGACCCCGCAAATACCGGCGAGCTGCCGGAAGTGAACATGACCGGCCGATGCAGCGGCGCCGGCGGCGGGTAACCGCCGGCATAATGAGGGCATAATTTGAATGAAGTTGATTGAACAACAATTCACAATTGAATGTTGTAAATAGATCACTAAGATGATAAATTATGATGAATTTGAGTATGAAAAATTGATGGATCATGGAGGCATCATTTATTACTAATCAATTTGAAGTGTGTGTCCGCGAGAACACGTTTGATTTAATTATTCGCACATCACATCAATGTTGCTCTACCTTAAAATATGAACCACAAATACAATTTGTACTTTCTATCTTTGTTTCTAGGGTGGAAAAATATGTATAGTATAATATTTCCTTTTTCAAAGATGCCCTTGTCTGGATTCGGTGTTTGTAATCAACACTTTCTAGTTGAGGAGAAAGTGCATTTAAATGCATCCATTGCATTCGAAAAAGATGGTTCTTTCTTTTTAATTGGCAGAAAGGATCATTATTTTATTCAGGGTTTGATTGTAGTGAAAGAATATAGCCAAAAAAAGGGATTTCAATTTCAAATTGGCTTCTTCAATGGGAGAATGTATGAAGTGTAGTAAGGCAAAGCTCATATTGTTGAATGATTCCAAAGGGAAGGTGGTCCTGAATTGCAATGTTGCAAATAGTTACTATTTCGTAAATGCAGAAATCGAAAATATAGAATATCATGAGAAGTGTTATTTTCTACATATATTTATTGATTACTTTGGAGACGGTGAGACTTTTTGGTTGGACTTGGACGTTTAAAAACAAATATAGTAGAGATAATAGCATAATTTTGCGGCAGCAATTAATTAATGAGCTGAAGCTAAGGGGATGAGTTCATCTAAGCCAATTGAAACATCGTCAAACTGGGGAACAGCTAGAGAATTCAACACGAGGGCAATCTCTTCCCATCGTTCTTCTTTACTCCTCTCCTCTAAGTCAAACTCGTAAGAGGCATTATCATCGTATCCTCTCAATGTGGTAAGGCTTGGGAAAGTATTACCAGGCAGCACTACCCTCATCTTTGTGCCATAATCGAAAGCCTTGTAAAGCTCAAGCCTACTCAATTTGGGCAAGCCCATGAGAGACGGGCCAGGGTCCTTCTTCAGTCTCGTATTCATCAACTTCAATACAAGCAAGTTTTGTAGAGATGAAGCACGCACCCAACTTGGTAACTCCTTTAGACTACCATTCAAAAGTAATTTTTGAAGATTTGGAGGTGAGGACACATCTTCCAACTCAAACAAGTAATCTGTTTGAAGTATTAGAGAACGCAGATTTATCAATATGGAAATGCATACACACACTTCTCTCCGCTGTTCCTTTCTCAATTTAACCAAACCTAACTTTCTCAATTGGGTCAACCTCCCCAGATCCTTTATCCACCCGCTCATTTTTGGTGCTTCAAGGAAGCTCACCTTTTGTAATGATTCAAACCTTCCAATGTCGCATGTTATCTTAACACCACATGATTGATCATTATAGGAAATATAATATTTCACATTTTTCTTACCATTCAAATATACTATTTCCTTGTCAACCTGACGTATCTTACTAGCTTTTCCCACTTGATGGCAACGAGAAATCAAAAGATGGCAAAGCTTTTTATGCAGCATTGATATCTCTTTAGGTAGCTCATTAATCAAGGTGTACCTTAGGTCCAACGTTTCTAGCCTTTGCAAATTCCCAATGGACTTTGGAAGCTTTGAGATTTTAGTATTTTTCAAACACAAATACCTTAAGAGGAGCAACGTGCAAATTCCTTCAGGAAATGCATCTAAGGGAGCTCTTTCCAAATCTAACACACTAAGTAGCTTATTAAACTTGAAGCCAATATCTCGCAAAAACAAAGCTCCATTTACTTTTGCCTTTGCCTCGTCTTGAGGGATATTAAAGAACATTAGCAGAGAACGAAGTCGTTGAGGCAATGTCAATAGTAAGTTAATGTCGATGCCTCTCTTTATTGCATTTGCATGAATACATAATCGCCTTGCTCCAACTTCCACCGTATCTGCCATGTGAACAAATCTCTCTTCTTTTGACTCTCGTAGAAAGTCATGGATGCGACACCACTTCACCCTTCTACTTCCATCCTCTCTTTCTTCAACTATTTGTATCAAACTTCTGCTAACAAGCTCACACAAATCGTTGTCAGCATGCTCCTCGGCCCTTCTCCCACCTCTCTTTGTCACAAAACCTTCTGCGATCCACAACCTAATCACTCTCGTCCACTTTATGAGAGAGTCTTCTGGGAAAATACACAAGTACATATAACAAGGTTTGAGGTGATAAGGCAAATCATCAAAGCTCAAAGAGAGTATCTTTTTGGTCATTTCTAGTTCAGGATTTTCCTTCAACTCAATGTCAAGACTCTCTTGAACGTTCTTCCAAGCGCCAACGTCACCCACGTTTTTGGTACTTAAAAGGCCACCAATTGCCAATATAGCAATAGGAACTCCCTTGCACTTGTTAAAAACAATATCTTTGCAAATGGGTTCCAAATGGGAAGGGCAAGGCTGTGTTGGGAATGTTCTCTTACAGAACAGATCCCAAGAATCATTTTCATTCAAAGGTTGTAGTCGATGGACATGACCACCGTACTCCACGCAAGAGTGGTTTGCCACGTTTTCCATGCGCGTAGTAACAATGACTCTGCTCCCATGGTTGTTTCTGGGGAATGACAGTTTAATCTGATCCCAGTGTTTGGTTTTCCACACGTCATCAACCACAATCAAGTACCTTTCATTCTCGAGCCTTTCCCTCAGTCTTACTTTCAACTGATGCAATGGGAGTTGCAACAATTGTTTCATTTCCAACATTTCTCCGTCTCTGGAGAACAACTGCTCAGTTATATCTTTGAAAAACCCATCTTCCATCAGGGTTTGGGAAACAATGCCAAACGCACGTCGTTCGAAATGGGACGACATGTCACGACAGATTTGTCTGGCTAAGGTTGTTTTACCCAACCCTCCCATGCCAAAAATGGAGACAACTTTGAGATTGGGGTCACCATCGTTGAGAAATTTCTCCACCTCCTTCTTTGCTGCGTCTATGCCAACCAATTGCCTTTCATCAACCAAAGCTGGAACATCCCTTCGAAACTGATCCATCTCTGAAGTGCCTCTGTCTGAGCTTGAACTCGAACCTTTATTGTAGAGAGAAAGATCATAGCCATACCTTTTTGGACGCTCTGCTATTTCATTCACTCTGTCTTTGATGCTTTGTAGCTCAGAACCGATATCGTGCCTCGGTTCCACTTTCTGAAAGCGGAACAAATGCTACCGAAACGTATCAAATCACAGCAACTTGAACAGAAACATTGGGTCCAGGGGGCATAAAATTTCAATACTCTTTTTTTATAATTTATTTAATTTAAATAAGCATTTTTACATCATTTAATTATAATTGTCATATTACTAAAAACTATTAAAAACTTTAAATTAATATAATTTTATACCGAAATTAAACTCTTGCTTATAATTATAAATAAACAAAAATGGATTATATTTCATGCAAAGCAAAATCTTCAAACTATGTAAACGATTCTAAAGACAAAAAAATTCTCATCTAAACTACAATATAATTGCTCGTATGGACAAGTTATTGGGCAGTACTTGGTTACAGTCATTCATGTTGAATTATCTGAATAAATTTTATAATTTATAAAAGATATTAATATATATTAGGACTTGAGTAGTAATCATGATCACATGTCTCATGCTATCAAGAAATTATTTGTTTTTCCATTTTTATTTCCATCGTGTAGCTGATTGTTTAACCTTTAATTAAACTAAATTTTTCTAATCAATTTTTAAATTTGAACTAATCCCTTCTCATACCAATTTGGTTTCTTTCCATTTCATAATTTGCCTGTAAAGCTGAGTTAATTCCCTTTTTTAACCTCGAATATCTATAAGTTTACATATTAGGATATTAAAGTTAACATTTTTAACTATTTTTTAAAATTTATTATAAAAACATATTTTTTTGAAATTTAAAAAGTGTGATACTATATCATTCATAATCATAAGATAACATTAAAAATATTTACCATTGAAACCATATTATTACACTTTTAATTATCTTAAAAAATTAAAAAGATAATTTTTTTAATGTCAATACTGTTCAAAAATTATAAAAATAATGATATTAGTAATTAATGCATTGTAATTAAATTAATAATATTAGTAACTTCGACTTAGGAATAATAATTTGTAATAATTTTGTTATTTTAACTATTAGTGTAAATTTTTTATATTTCATATATATTTAATATTTTTGGGATTTTTTCAATTTTAAAAAACTGTTATTTAGCACAGATTTGTTCAATGTTCAGAGTTATCATAAAATTATTCATGTTATCTACATAGATATACGAATCATATTACTAAGCTAACAAAATAGCACAAGCAATTTGCGAGTACCTGCATCATCATCAAAAGCAATTCGAATCAAGTAATCGTCGACAACATCTTCTATCTCAAAGGTAACGTCTCTCACTTGATCCACCCATAACTTAAGCATTGGATTTTCCTCTTTTTCGACATCAGCAAATCTTAGGAAAGTTTTCATGGCTGCAAGTTCATCTTTGATCTTTCTAATTTCATCTTTGACTCCTGTCTGTAAATTCACCTCTTCCTTTATCACCCAAAAAAGTTTATTTAACAATAGTTCCACCACACTATCTGCCATTTTTTGAAAGTTGCAATACCAGATACAGATGATAGATTATCACACACAATTTTATCTGCTAAATATTGCTTTGAAGCATTATGATGATGCATCCTTACTTGTAAGTTGTAACTTGGGTAAGCATATATTCTTTTCTTCTTCTTTTTTCTGTTAAACCATACATGTAAATTGGGATAAAAATTATCCTTATTCTTGAACAATTATGCAAGGCAAATTTATTTTCTTGTTTTGCAATGATTGTGAGGAATGTATTTCTCATTTTCCTAATAAAGAATAAATTGTCTAACAACAGAAAAACATTTTTATTAGATCATATTTTATAAAGAGTTTAATTTATTGTATTTTTAGTGACATTATTAATTAATTAAATTATACGGTATATTATTTTAAATTAATTATTATAAAAATTAATTTTTTTTATTGATATGATAATCTATGATTGAATAATAGTATAAAATTGTTTATATATTATCATTATATTCTAATTATAAAAATTTCAAGGTTAATATTTTATTAGTGTTTGCACGTGCAATAAATACTATTGAATTACGATAAAAATTATATTTTAATCAAGTATCTTATGTAAATCTATTCTAGGACTTTGTTGTTAATTTAAAAGAATGCAATTCTTATTTTCCTTACAAAGTAACAATGAAAGATTTTGAAGCCGAATATTTTACAACATTTACGCATGCTACTAATTTAAACATGATTAATTTTTTTGGAATCAATATTTATTAATAAACTTCTACGGTATAAATGAAAGTTTACTTTTTAGAAAATAAAACATTTATAAAACTAACCTTTCTTCATAATTTTATCACATGTATAATTTTAAGATTAATTTTTTTGATAGTGTGTAAATTATACTTCCTCTTATTTTAATTTTTTTTTCCATTTTAACCTTTGTTATTTTAGATTGCAAAGATTAAAATTATTATTTAACTTTCTTTTATTATCTTATATAGTTTTCTAAATATCTTAAATTTTTTAATTTTCTAAAATTTAAAATTTACTTAATTTTAAGAATCACATATATTAAATTTATAGCTATTAATATATATTAATTATTAATATTTCATTAATAAAATTGACAATAGACAATAAAATTATTATATTTAACTAAATTATATTTCGAAATTATTTAATTTTATTAAAATTTTAGTATGTTAATATATAATATTCATAATTATAGAGTTAAGTTAAAATATTTTTTCAAAAAAAATTATTATATATATAATTGTTTAAAAAACAATTTTATTTTTAATTATTAAATTTTATATATATATATATATATATATATATATATCCCAAAATAAACTAGATTTACATTTCACGGATTATTAAACTATTTCAAACTTAAAATATTGTTATCAATATGTCAGATATACATGAATGAAAGAAAATATATTGCTATTTCGTAATTTTGTCTCAAATCTAAAAGCTCTGAACCTTTTATTCATTTGTATTTAATATAATAAAATAATTATTAACAATAAAATACACATTATTATCTTTACTTTATTTTTATTTATAAATACTCGTATGATATAAAAAAAAAACTTATTAACTAAAAAAGTTACTTTAAATAAAATATAAATAATTGTAGCGTTATAGCAAGGGATGATATGTGTTAGAAAAATATTTATTATATAATATAATAAATAATTTTTTCTATAAAAAAGTGGAATATATTATTTTTAATTTTTTAAATGAAAAAGTAATCTCAGAACTTCTAAATTATTTTACTCTTTTGTTTGATAAAAAAAATTAAGTGAAATATTATAAAAAATTAAAATTAAATTTTAAAAGTGATATTAATATATTTTTATTATAATTTTAATATCATTTTATTTATTTTTTTAATTAATACCTTTAATTACTTATTAGAAAAACCGTTGTTTAATTTGGATCGGAAGACATTAACAGTAAATAAATTTAATTGAAACAAAATGAATAGAAAAAATATAAATATATATATATATATATATATATATTTTACTTAGTATGATAAAAAAGTGGAAGAAAAAATAAATAATATAGGTGAAATATTATATAGAACTTATCTATCTATTTTAAAGTGGAGAGAAACAACTTGTAAATAATCTTTTTCACTTGTGTTATTATAATTATTAATTAGAGTTCTAGAATTGACTTGCAGGATAATACATTTAAAGATGACTAGAAATTTGATATTGATCATTTAGTAGAAATTACAGATAATTAATAATTGTATTATATTTATAGGACAGAGCTATCAATAATTGATAACTAAGTAACTCTAATTAATTGTAACAATTTAAATTATATTATAACACTCTCTTTTAATTCAGATAAGTCAAAGACACAATTTCTAATTTATCACAAAACTCTTCGTACTTGTTACCTAAATTTCAATTCTAGAATATATTAATTCTAATTTTTCCTTACTCACTTGGACTCTTAATAAATAACTAACGAAGTGTTATTGTGTTATTTTAAGTGTAATTGTTCTTTGACAACTACGGTCACCAGTTTGTTTTCGTGGTGCAGGACAAATGGTAATTGGAGAGCCTGTTGTCTCAGGATTAGCCCTTGATGAATCTTGGCTTTGGCATTCTGAGTTTAAGAATTAAGATATCAACTACCGGCTAAGCCTTCCCTTCTTTTTAGGTTAGGATAAAGTGGAGGAAAGATAACCTTTTAACTATAACTTATGGTTACATCTCACAGGAATCTGGTCAACTATCTGTTACTGACTATGTCCGGTTGACAAGCACTGAATGGTATATTTTCAGTTTATCAAAGGCAAAATTAGCTTCCAGTTCTTCTGGCAATAAAGGGAATTAAGAGTATTTTGTTATTTTTATTTTAATTTAATGAACGGGTTTGGTAAGATGCCAAAAATATTGATGATATTTTTAATTCTACAATCGTTTCAGTGCTAGAATCTTCAATATATATCCAAGGAAAGGAGCTATTTTCCCAGGATCTGATGCAGATATTATCGTCCTCAATCCAAATTCAGGTTTTGAGATAACTGCAAAGTCCCACCACTCTTAGATCGGACACAAATATCTATGAGGGAAGGAAAGGAAAGGTACTGGTTTAACTATAATCTGGCATGTCTATGGATTGTAGTCACTGTTACTGACATCCCCAGTATGACATAAATCTTCTTGTTATGGCTTAATATGTTTTTTCTAACCCATTTCCTCATAAGTCCTCCCTGGATTTTTTTTTAGAACTTTATGAGGGCCCTTTTACATTTTTTCCCTCCTTTGGAATTAATTTTGTGCTATTACCTGTCCCCATCGTAGGTAGTTTAGCTACAAATGGTATGCTGTAAAGTAAGAAATGGTATATGTTGTCCTATTCGATTAGGGGCATTTCATTGATGTTGCTATCTTGAGGTTTGAATTCGGAAGGGGTTATTGGATTTGCATATGGTACAGCACTACGGTTAATGGTTTAACATTGGGCAGCTAGAATTCTCCTGCCTTAAGAGATTATTTACTAATTATTTTATAATTGTTGTCTTGGTGCATGTTTAGATTATTTATGAAAAACAGCCATTTATTTTTCAAAATCTCTCACTTGAAGTTAATAAAAACAAGTTATTATTATTCCAAAATAAGTTGAACCAAATCTGCCTTATTTTATGGGCTATCAGCAAGAACAAGAAGTTATTGTCAACAGCATGCACTGTCTTTATCTTTGCTTGTTTTCCTGTGGTTCTGCTCAACATGTGCTTATGTTTATTTGTATATTGTTCAACAATTGAAGCCTTGTCACTAATATCAAGATTAACAGTTTAATTTATTTTTTTTCCAGGGGAAAGTTGAAGTGACTATTGCAGGAGGAAGAGTTGTTTGGGAAAATAATGAACTCAAGGTCGCTCCTGGTACTGGGAGATACATCCAAATGCAACCTTTTAGTTATGTGTTTGATGGACAAGACAAGAAGGATGCCATTTATCTAAATTCCCTTCAAGCCCCAGTAAAAGCGAGACAAATCTAGCACCTAAAAAATTTCTGATATCCCTTTATAGTCAATTTTAAACGTTTTACCAGGGGGGAAATCAAAGTGTGTTAAACCAGATTCTGTGCAAATAAAGGAAAATAAATATATTTCATGTTACCTTTTTCACGACATTGTAAAAGCCGTTCAAACAAAAGAGAAAATTGCTTTGGCTACGTTTCCAATATAATATAATGTCTCATGAATTGCATATAAGATTAATAATTAATACATGCATGCATGGGATATTGAAGAATATATTTATTGAATACGTGCACAGACACACAGATTTTGGTTGGACTTGGATGGTTAAAAACTAATATACATAAACATACATATAATTTTGCGGCAACAATTAATTAATCAACTGATGCTAGGGGGATGAGTTTGTCTAGACCGACTAGAATACTGCTATCGATGGCTGTATAGAAGTCAGTCAAACTAGCAGCCCATTCCCACAAGTTCTCAATGTCAGGCAAGGGAAAGTGTTTGGAGGATGCCCTGTAACCAACATAATAATCAGAATATCCTCTCAACGTGATGAGGCTTGGGAAAGGATTACCAGGGAGCACCACTCGCATCTTTATGCCATCATCGAAAGCCTTATAAAGCTCAAGCCTACTCAAATTGGGCAAACCCATGAGAGATGGGCCAGGGTCCTTCTTCAGTCTCGTATTCATCAACTTCAATACAAGCAAGTTCTTTAGAGATGAACCACTTACCCAACTCGGTAACTCCTTTAGACTTCCATTCAAATGTAATTTTTGAAGGTGTGGAGGTGGACACACATCTTCCAACTCAAACCAGTAATCTGTTTGAAGCATTAGAGAGCGCAGATTTGTTAATCTAGAAATGCATGAACACACTTCTTTCCACTGTTCCTCTCTCAATTTAACCAAACCCAACTTTCTCAACTGGCTCAACTTCCCTAGATCCTTCATCCACTCACTCTTCTCTGGAGCTTCAAGAAAGCACACCTTTTGTAATGAATCAAACCTTCCAATGTCGCATGTTATCTTAACACCACATGATTGATGATCATATGATGAAATATAATCTTCTGTGCCTTTTTCACCATTCAAATATACTATTATCTTTTCAAAATTACGTAACCTATAATCCGTTCTCTTTTGATGGCAACGAGAAATTAAAAGATGGCGAAGCTTTTTATGCAGTATTGATATCTCTTGAGGTAACTCATCAATTAAGGTGTACTTAAGGTCCAACATTTCTAGCCTTTGCAAATTCCCAATAGACTTTGGAAGCTTTGAGATTTTAGTATTTCTCAAACACAAATACCTTAAGAGGAGCAAGGTGCAAATTTCTTCAGGAAATGCATCTAAAGGAGCTCTTTCCAAATCTAACACACTAAGCAGCTTATTAAACTTGAAGCCAATATCACGCGATAAGAAAGTATCATTTGCATTTTCCTCAGCCTCATCACCAGGGATATTAAAGAACATTAACAGAGAACGAAGTCGTTGAGGCAATGTCAATAGTAAGTTAATGTCGATGCCTCTCTTTATTGCATTTGCATGAATACATAATCGCCTTGCTCCAACTTCCACCGTATCTGCCATGTGAACAAATCTCTCTTCTTTTGACTTTGAGAGAATAATATCTCGTAGAAAGTCATGGATGCGACACCACTTCACCCTTCCGCTTCCATCCTTTCTTTCTTTAACTATTTGTATCAAACTTCTGCTAACAAGCTCAGTCAAATAGCTGTCAGCATCTTCCTCCACCGTTCTTCCACCTCTCTTTGCCACAAAACCTTCTGCGATCCACAACCTAATCACTCTCGTCCACTTTATGCGAGAATCTTCTGGGAAAATACACAAGTACATATAACAAGGTTTGAGGTGATCAGGCAAATCATCAAAGCTCAAAGAGAGTATCTTTTTGGTCATTTCTAGTTCAGGATTTTCCTCTAACTCAATGTCAAGACTCTCTTGAACCTTCTTCCACTCGTCAACGTCACCCAAGTTTTTGGTACTTAAAAGGCCACCAATTGCCAATATAGCAATAGGAACTCCCTTGCATTTGTTGAAAACAATGTCTTTGCAAATGGGCTCCAAATGGGAAGGGCAAGGCTGTTTTGGGAATGTTCTCTTACAGAACAGATCCCAAGAATCATTGTCAGTCAAAGGTTGTAGTCGATGGACATGACCACCGTACTCCACGCTAGAGTGGTTTGCCACGTGTGCCATGCGAGTTGTAACAATCACTCTGCTCCCATTGTTGTTTCTGGGGAATGACATTTTAATCTGATCCCAGTGTTTTGTTTTCCACACGTCATCAACCACAATCAAGTACCTTTCATCCTCAAGCATTTCCCTCAGTTTTTCTTTCTGGCGATGTAATGGCAGTTGTAACAGTTGTTGTATTTCCAACATCTCTCCATCTTTGGAGAACAGCTGCTCAATCAAATCTTTGAGAAACTCATCTTCCTTCAGGGTTTGGGAAACAATGCCAAACGCACGGCGTTCAAAACGGGACGACATGTCACGGAAGATTTGTTTGGCTAAGGTTGTTTTGCCCAACCCTCCCATGCCAACAATGGAGACTACTTTGAGACTGAGGTCACCATCGTTGAGCAAATTCACCACCTCCTCCTTTGCTGCATCTATGCCAACCAATTGCCTTTCGTCAACCGAAGCTGCAACATTCTTTCGAAACTGATCCATCTCTGAAGGGCCTGCGTCTGAGCTTGAACTCGAAGCTTGCTTGAAGAGTGAAGGATCATAGCCATACCTTTTTGGACGCTCTGCTATTTCACTCACTCTGCCTCTGATGTTTTGTAGCTCAGAACCGATTTGGTGCCTTGCTTTCCACTTTTTGAAAGGGGAACAAATGCTACGGAAACAAGTGTTATGTGCACTACCTACACCATCATCATGTTAGAGCAGCTTCAACAAAAACTTTGGTGCTAAGGTCATAAAATTTCGATACATTGTTTTCTAAATACACGAAAAAGAATATATTCAATGGAATGCAAAATCTTCAACCAATGTAAATGAGGGATGATTCTAAATTGATACACCTAAACCAAAATCAAACAATAAAATTCTAAATTGATTAGCCAATTTCTAAATCTTAATTTACTTTTGAAATCCGAAGTAATCACTTTTCATATCAATTTGGTTTCTTTTGATTTCTTAATTCGCCCATAAACGCGAGTCAATTCCTTTTTAACCTGAATATGGACAAGTTCGTATATTTGGGTATTTTTAAGTAAACATTTTTAACTTTATGTTTTATAATTTATCAATGCTTGTGTTTTGAAAGTGAAAAACTATGGTACTGTATCATTCATAAGATAACATTAAAAAAGTAAATTTTTATAAGTTTTGTTAAGTTTAACTCTTAAAATTGAATTTAAGAATCTAAAAATAAAAAATATATTAAAAAAACATATTCATAACATTAAAGATATAAAAGTGTAATAATATTTTTTTAATAAAAATTTACTATTATTAGTTACTTAAATTTAGTCTCAATAACATTTTTTATTTTTTAATATCTTAATATTATTACACTCTTGCTTATCTTAAAACTCAAAAAATAATTTTTAAATGTTAATACTCGTTATTAGAAAAATTGTAAAAATGATGATGGCGAATTAATGCATAATAATTAAATTCATAACACAAGTTACTTTTTTTTAGAAATAAGTATTTATAATAATTGTCTTATTTAACTATTAGTGCAATATTTTTTTATATTTCACCAGTTTTTTTAATTTTTTGGGAATTTTAAAAAATTATTATTCGACTAACTTGTTTAAAATTATCATAAAATATTCAATATTGTATTAATAAATATAAGTATGCTTTACTTAATATAATTTAACAATTAACCAAATGACTATTTTTTTTTGGTACTTTTTTTTTCTCTTTATACATATTAATATCAACAAAGGTATTATTTTTAGAACATGTTATGTTTGTGTATCATATTGTATCCAATAATTTGGTGCCACATAACTCTAAAATTATCTTCCAAAGTAATCATAAAAGATTAATAAATGTCAACTACAATCTAACACGAAATAGTTTGAGCTACATATATCAATATAAAACCTAAACTACCAAAATTATGTAACATATAGTTTAAGCAAAAAATATCATATCAATAAGCTAAGAAAATCACACAGAAGGTTTCTTATTACCTGCATCATCATCGCTAGCAACTTGAAGTAAGTAGTCATCGACAACATCTTCTATCTCAAAAGCAACATCTCTCACTTGCTCCACCCATGGCTTAAGCCTTAAGTCTTTCTCCTGTTGGACATCAACAAATCTTAGAAACGCTTTCATGGTTGCAAGTTCATCTTTAACCTTCTTAATTTCATCTTTAACTCCTTTCTGCAAATTTACCTCTTCCTTCACCACCCGAGAAAGTTCATTTAGTAATATTTCTACCACACTATCTGCCATTTTTTTTTGTTCTTCCTATCTTAGTCTCTCTAACTCAACACCTTTCCTCGTTGCAGAATTAGAGAAAAAGCAAGTTTGCTAACTTGAAATTCTTCTTGGTAGCAATTCCTATGATCATATGCTCAAATTTATATGTAAAATATTGTGCATGCATTGTTTTGAAGCATTTTGGTGCACCTTTACTTGTAAGTTGTAGTGTAGGAAAGTATCTATTCTTCTCATCTTTCTTAACAGAGCATGTGTGCCAATTAAGGTAAGAATTATTCTTATTCTTAAACAACTATGCATGGTTAATATATTCTCTTGTTTTGCAATGGTTCTGAGAAACGTATTTCTTTAATTTTTAATTAGATCATAAATTGAACCAAATAGGCACTTCTTTGATGGGCTATCAGCAAGAATAATAAGTAATTCAAAAAAGCATACACTAAATTTGGAATTGCACTGAGGCACTGCACTTCACATAACTTTGACTGGTTACTTGCTTTCTTTGTTTTTTCACTCTAAAATGTAAAGCATGTCATGGTCTCTCTCCATCGCTTGATTTGTTCGTGCTGTGTTCCTTCATCTTGTTTGTTCCTATGCTTATGTTCAGCATTGAAAGCCTTGTCATTAATATCAAGATATACAGTTTTAAGTACTTGATACTCATAATTTTTTAAGTATTAAACAAATTTAAAATTATTATTTAACCTTTGTTATTTTAGATTGCAAAGATTAAAATTATTATTTAAATTTCTTTTATTATCTTATATATTTTTTTAAACATCTTAACTTTTTTAACATTTTAAAATCTAAAATTTACTTTTAAGAATCATATATATTAAATTTATAGCTATTAATATATATTAACTATTAATATCTGATTAATAAAATTGACAATATACAATAAAATTATTATTTTTAAATTATTTAATTTTATTAAAATTTTAGTATTTTAATATATAATACTCATAATTATTGAGTTAAGTTAAAATAATTTTTCAAAACGTTTATTATATATAATTGTTTCAAAAATATAATAATTTATTTTTTACTATTAAATTATATATATATATATATATATATATTCTAAAATAAAATAGATGTACATTTCACGGATTATTAAACTATTTCAAACTTAAAATACTGTTATCAATATGTCAGAAATACATGAATGAAAGAAAATATATTACTATTTCGTAATTTTTTCTCAAATCTAAAAGTTCTGAACCTTTTATTCATTGTTATTTAATATAATAAAATAATTATTATTAACAATAAAAATACACATTATTATCTTTACTTTATTTTTATTTATAAATACTCGTATGATATAAAAAAAACTTATTAATTAAAAAAGTTACTTTAAATAAAATATAAATAATTGTAGCGTTATAGCAAGGGATGATATGTGTTAGTAAAATATTTATTATATAATATAATAAATCATTTTTATATACAAAAAAAAGTGGAATATATTATTTTTAATTTTTGAAATGAAAAAGTAATCTCGGAACTTCTAAATTATTTTAGTCTTTTGTTTGATAAAAAAATTAAGCGAAATCTTATTAAAATTATAATTAAAATTTAAAAGTGCTATTAATATATGTTTATTATAATTTTAATATACTTTTTATTTATTTTTTAATTAATACATTTAATCGCTTATTAGAAAAGCCGTTGTTTAATTTGGATCGGAAGACATTAACAGTAAATAAATTTAATTGAAGGAAAATGGATAGAAAAAAAAATATTTTCACTTACTTAGTGTGATAAAAAAAGTGAAAGAAAAATAATAATATAGGTGAAATATTATAGAACTTATCTACCTTGTTTTTAAGTGGAGAGAAACAACTTATAAATAATATTTTTCACTTGTATTTTTATAATTATTGAGACTCAAATAATTGCTGTGTTAGAATTGAGTTACAGTATAATAGATTTAAAGATGACTAGAAAATTGATATTGATCATTTAGTATAAATTACAGATAATTAATAATTATATTACATTTATAGGACAACAAAGCTATCGATACTTGATAATTAAGTAACTATAATTAATTAATTGTAACGATCTGAATTATATTATAACACTCTTTTAATTTAGACAAGCCAAACACAATTTCTAATTTATCACAAAACTCCCTTTACTTATCATTCTTTACAACTTTGTTTATAATACTTGCTATCTAAATTTCAATTCTAGAATATATTAATTCTAATTTATTCTTGCTTACTTGGACTCTTAAAAAATAAAATATGGTCTATATGCGTTTACTTTTCATATGTGTTATTGGATGTTTATTCAAACAAATTGCTGACTTGCAATTAGCAATTTTACTAATTTCTCTTCTTTTAACTTTAATTTCTAAAGTCTAACAAATTGTTAAAGATATCACAATATAGTAAATATATTATTCTTTTCAAGATAAAAGAGTTACTATATTTTGCTTTTTGGAACACCATAAAATTAGAAATTTATAATACATGTCTAATTATACTTTTCCTTTCATCTTTGTCTCCACTTACACTAATTTAAATCAAAATACTTGATTAGATATGCTTCTAAACACTACAATTTCTTAGGAAATAGCACACTATATTCTAATATTCCGTTCACATGTCATAGTATTCTTTTGACAAACATAGGATGATGTGTTTTTGGTTTATCTATGTATTTGCTTGTTAAATCAACTCCAAAAGCTATATCTAGCATATTATTGTATTAGAATCTAAGAGATTTAACTATTTATTTTTAAAGAATGACATCAAAAGTTCTTTCATCTCCCTTTTTTTTTTAGTTTAACTCTCGCTTCAACTGGTATCGTCATTGAATTACATATTATGTTTTGTTGGTGTACAAAAACTTTATTTTTGATATAACTCACATATATATCATGTTTTATACACACAATTAGTTAAATGTAACTAAGTTAAAAAATAGTTAATCTTCATATTCTAGACAAGTGGAGCCTGTTTCAAACCATAAAAGGATTTCTTTAGTATGTAAACCTTCTCTTCATGCTTAATAATCTCAAAATTGGATGGTTGACAAATATATACTTCTTCATCAAGAGGGCTAGTGAAAAATATTGTTTTCCTATATGCATCACCATCTCTGTAACTTGTCAAATTTTTTGACAACCAATCTAGCTTTATATTTTACTTCACCATTAGGCTTCTTCTACATTTTACAGATCATCTCAAATCAATAGGTCTTTTTTGTTAAGGAAGTGAAACTAGCTCTTAGGTTTAATTCTTTTTAGTAGCTTTTAACTTTTCTTTCATGGCCTCCATCCATCTTGGGTTATTAAACACTTATTCAAGGTTAATTATTTCAATTTTAGTAAGCGAAGCTATATATACTATATCATAATCATGTGTTCTTTGTGGCAATTGCCTAGTTTTTTGGAGCCTGCTATTGCAACTTTCTACCATAGTATCATTTCTTTTGTTTTCATCTCCTTAAAAATTAAACTACACCTTACTTCTCCTATTGTCTAAACAAGTGTTCTAATCCTTGCTTTTATTCTTATCAAACACTACATCAATACTAATTACAATATTCTTTGAACATGAGTCAAATAAGCACCTAATGCATGATATCCCACATAATCATATTAGTTTTCTCTTATCACTAAGCTTATTTTTTAATTAATCAGACATATTTAAAGCATAACCATCCAAACACTCAAAAGATTATCGATACTCGACTTTCTATCAGTTCAAACTTTTATAACAATAAGAACTTTCAATTTCCTTATAGAACAATATTAAGAATATAAATAATTATTATTACTCTCTGTGTATAAATAATTTATAGAAAGTAAGATTTAATTTTAAACTCTTTCATTGTCTCATTAAATATTTATATACCTTAACAGTCTCACAATTCACTTTCATTTTTATCAATTTAATTGTAGAATTAATTTTTTCTATAAATAGATAATTTTCTTTTAAAAGCATACAAATTAATTAATAATTAATCAAAACAACTTTTTTCAACATTAGATATACATTTTTATAAATAAATGTTAATTTCTAAAATTATATATTTATAATTGTTCAATTTATCTAAAATTTAATATGTATAACCAATATAAATATATTGAATATGTAGTAGTTGAATTATAAAAAATTATTAAAGAATAGATTTTTTTCTCTTAAATTAATTTAATTTTCGCTCATAAACCACGGTTGAACTAATAAATTAATAATCAATTTTATCCCGAGTAGTAGTAGGAATTGAGGGTGAAAGCAATTTTAAAATCCAAAGGCAATAATGATAATTTATAATAATAATAATAATAGAGTCAACACAAGAGAATGATGAAGTAAAAACTAAAAAGAAAAAGGCAAGGGGATAGAGACAGGGGATGAATAGAAGAAGAAGAAGAGAAGTAGAGTTGATAGTGCCTCGTGCTTCTGCTTCAATTCATCGAATCAATCATTGATTTGAAATCGAATGGGGATACTGTACGCGCTGGTAGGTCGTGGATCGGTGGTGCTGGCGGAGTTCAGCGGCACCGCTACCAACGCCAGCGCAATCGCCAGGCAGATATTGGAGAAGATCCCTGGCACCAACGACACTCACGTTTCATACTCTCAGGATCGTTACATCTTCCACGTTAAACGCACCGATGGTCTCACCGTTCTCTGTATGGCCGACGACACTGCCGGCAGTGCGTTTTCTGCTCTTTTCTATACCTAAATCCCTAATTTATTCCTTTTTTTATTTGATTTAATTTATTGAATTTGTTCGTAGGGAGAATTCCTTTTGCGTTTCTGGAAGATATTCATCAGAAGTTCGTGAGGACTTATGGACGCGCTGTTCACACCGCTCAGCCTTATGGAATGAACGATGAGTTCTCTAGGGTTTTGAGCCAGCAAATGGAGTATTATTCCAATGATCCTAACGCCGATAGGATCAATCGACTTAAAGGTGAAATGTCTCAGGTATGGCTTGTGATCGCTACAGTATCATTTCCTTCGCTTTATATTGTAATTGATAGTTGAAACAAGTTGTGCCTGTGTTTGTGCGTGTGGCTAAATTGAAGATGACTAGAGTACTACTGTGTTATTATGTTTGGAGTGGTGGATGGAATAGATTAGGTATGAAATGGAAATGAGTAAAGTTTCTATTATTCATACCATTGTTTGGATATTTTTTGATGCAATGGAATAAAGTTTATGTGTTTGAGAAGTTAACAGAACTATAAGCGGTTCAGTGAATAATAAGCTGTTTCCCTACCACACTCCCTAAATTGAGGAGAGAGGTATTGGATGGGTGAAATATTTCGTTCTATGGTTTTTCTAATGTGTCTAAGCACACACTAGTAAATAATAAGTTTTAATTAGAAATTGTAGCTTTTAATGTTATCAATGTATTAGAACCTGTGATTTTCAATAGAAAAAACTTATTATATATATGTTTTTATTATGTGTCTGTGGGCACATATTAGCAATACTGTTCGTACTATTGCAATCCAAATTGTGACAGTGAATATAATTACATTTTGTTCCTCTTCATTTCATCCTTTTTCGTCAATCCAAAGTCCAAACACAGTCTAAGTTTGAGAAAAAGATAATGGTTTCTTAGAAATGTATAATTAAAGAGACAAAAATCTATTCATCAGCAGCATTTCTATTTGATTTATATTCTGAGTGAATGCAGCACTTTGACTATTATATTTATTCTCGTGTTTGATTCTCTCGGTTGTTCTGCTCTCATATGTCTGTTCTCTTTTCTTTTGGGTTCTTTAACAGGTACGAAATGTCATGATAGAAAATATTGACAAAGTTTTAGATAGAGGTGATCGATTGGAATTGCTGGTGGATAAAACTGCTAATATGCAAGGAAACACCTTTCGCTTCAGGAAGCAAGCTCGTCGTTTCAGAAGCACTGTCTGGTGGAGAAATGTCAAGCTAACGTATGTTCTCTGACCAAACCTCAATCTTATTAATCAAATTTTATAATGAAAAAACGGCAGTCTCTTGAATGAGTCTGAAACCTTTTCTCCATCGTTTTTTTAATCATTCCTTGCATGATCAATTGGGTTTTTAATACATGGAATATGTGCCGGTATCCTTTGAATCATTTGGATTAAATATATAATGATTTGATATAATTTCAGATAATTCTGATGGGGTTAAACTCATTTGGTTGGCCATATGGGGATTGGGGTAGAGGTTGTAGGTTGAATTGCCGGTAAAAACTTCTCAATGTGCTAAAAAAGGAATTTTTTTGAGAGAAATAATCTCACTGTTAATATTATTTTAATTATAAAAGAAGAAATTTCATTAGAGAAATAAAGAGGTAGAAGTAAAAAAGGTTGGAGGATAAGAAATTGTCAATGAAGACAACTAAAAAGGAGAAAAGACAGACACAAAACAGAAACTCCTAAAAACTAGTCCGTGTAAGAGATCTTGGGAGTCTCCTTGGATATGCAATACTGATTGATACCCTTAAATAAACCATGTGCTGAACACCAAAAAAACCATGAAAATGGTTTTATCCCATTAACAAATGTAGAGGTGAGGAAAAACCCTTGAAGATGCAAGCATTCCTATCCAACAACAAAATCCTATAGATGCCCCATGCATTTTATTTCCTTCTTATTACCTATCCCTTCAAATTGAATGTGTAGAAATTGATTCAAGGAGACGCCCATAACTCACCAAAAATATCAAAAAGTTTATTCTAAATCTATTGCATTGCTGAAACATGGAGAAATAAATGAGGCAGTTTCAAACTTAGATCTACACAACCCACAGATCAAGGGAAGAGCTATGTAAGGGCATCTAACTAGCAACAAGTTTGCAATGTTAGTAAAGCTGTTCATGGTTCAAACTAAAACTTTGATCGTAGGAGTCTTAGGATTCCAAAATGGCTTATCCAAGGTTAGTCTCTCCCTTGTAGGAGAATGTATAGAAACTGAAAGTAAGATTTGCTGGAGGAAGAGAAAACACTAGTGGTATCAAGGTTCGTGATTCTAATATGAATTGAAAATATAATAGTTAAATTATATTAGCATGACATAAATCCCTCTACATTACTCATTCCTATATTATTGAGAGTGCAAATATCCTTTTTTAATATAATAAATGTCTAGTGAGATTGTCTGTCTGTTGAGAGTTCAATTAAGCAATTATGAATTATCTCTACTAGTTTTAGAATAATTTCAAATAGTCGGCAACAAACTTGTTTCCTTCATAAAATTTCATAATACAATTCATTTTAGTTGCCTTCATACAATTCATCAATCTTTAGCTATAGTTTGGATGCTCAATTTTTTTGGGTCTTAAAAGCTGACAAAATGGTTGTGTGTTGCAGGGTTGCACTTATTGTTGTCCTTCTTGTGATAGTTTATATTGTGTTGGCTTTTGTTTGCCATGGGCCCGCTCTGCCATCTTGTTTTTAGTGAAGGATTGGCAAGTGAATTTTATGTGTGCTTCCTTATCGTCTTGAGCTGAGGTCACTTCTTTTATATCTTCCATTGTTATATGCAGACTCCCATTTGTTCAACTTAAATTGCTGGGCTGTCCGCCTGTGTGCTAGTGAATTCCTTGCATTTGTTTTGGATTGTACTTTCATTACGAGGCTTGAGGGAAAAAGTTATCGTATCATGTCAATCATTGTATTTCTCATACCAACCCAAAAATTTGGATTGAACTGGGAAAACGTGAGACGTTAATTTTGTGTAAAGTGTAGCGTTGCAGCTTGATGGTGTGCTATGGATGCTTCCTCTTCTTGTTCTAGAGGGGGAAGGGTAAACCTTAAATTCCATGTGTTCTTTCATAGCTCAGTGAAAGGGTTAGAGAGAGAGAGAGAGAGAAGAAGGGGGGGGGGGGTTGAACTGTTCGGCCCTGTTTTGTTTTCAAATTGATGCATGTGAACCGCATAAACATAATACATATTTGCTTAAATTTATCTTTTTATGTGCGAACTATGAATTGCGAAGGTTCACGATTTTATTTTTACCTTTTTCGTTGGTGATTCTGAAATGTGTCCAAGGAAATGCGTGACACTGAGACCTACGTAACTTGTCGTTTCTGATAATTTGATCTATGGTTTGGAATTTTATGCCATTTGTCCTCTTTTTTTACTAAATTTTATATCATTGTCTTGTATTATAAAAAAAGACTGAAATGAATGTTGATATGTGAACTCAAAAATTAAAATGAAAATCTTATAAAATCAGGGACTAAAGTGATGGGTGTTCACAATTTTAGGAATTAAAATTGGGACTTACTCTTTCTTGTAAAACTCTAATAAAAATAATATTTTGGAATGGTCATCAACTGAACAACCAGATCGAATCATAGAATGCTTTAGTAGTATTTTACCAGTAAAAAACGCAAGAATTAAAAAAATGCTAAGAGTTTTGTGTATCAGTGCTAGAGAAATTTTAATTCGTACTTGACTATTCTTTTCCTAACTACAGATATTACTAAATTTCCAGCCTACCAAGCTTAGAATACGAAGATTTGTCATCGTGTGGATTGGCAATGACATTGATCCGAATAATTTCTCATTATCATTTGTTCAAACTAAAGCCATAACTTTGAGCCCTTTAATTATTGGCTTCAAAGCTTACATTTGATAGCTTCAAGGAACTGAGTGTATCAACAGAACCTTACGCTTCAGACAATCAAGTTGGTTAGGAAGTTCATCTATTTTCTCATATCATGGACATATTGCAAAACAATCCCTTGCCTTACATTGATGACACAATCTTTTTGGGATGCTATCCAAAGAGCAATATCCTAAAGGACTTGAATTCTCTGCATTCAAAATTTCTGCATTCATCGTCCAATAGTTCATCTATTTTTTTTTTCTTAATTTTTATTAATTTTGTTAAATTTTAAAATTAAAATGAATGGTAGAGATTCATCTTCTTCTTTTTTTTCTCCAACTGCGGAGGATCCATACTCCATCCCGAACCACATCATGCATCCTTATTTCATATTTACTATCTTCATAATGCATCAATAGACAAGAATGTATGAGCTTGTTTATGGAATTTACCTGGCTCCGAGCCATGTCAAATGATTCAAGTTCATCAGAGAAACCCAACCCTGCTCCATACCTGAAAAGAATCTTCAAGATGATCTTGTGCTCTTCTGGAAAAAGATCACCCATCAAGAAGAATGACTTGGCCAACCTACTTCCCTGAGAAGTATAACTTAATTGCAGGCATGAAAAAATATCTCCCATTCCTTCTTCAATATCTACTGGCTTTGAATTCTTCAATCTGTTAAAGGCTATCTTCTATTCATGGACAAATTTTCCTCTCAAGGACATCCCTACGGTTTCAGTTGCTCGGGGTAGTCTTTTACGTTCCCTAACAATTCCTTCTGCCAATCCATTTAACAAGCTAATGGAGGTATCATGATCAATACAAGCATGCTTTTGGAGCAAAATCCAAGATTCTTGTTCAGATAAGAGATATAGTGGAATCTTTCTTTGACACTCCATCAAAGTACATACATGTTGGCACCTTGTGGTCAGAAGGACCTTGCAGTTTCTGGGATCAGCATTCAATGGAATGCCTATATCCTCAAGATTAAGTCTTGACCAAACATCATCCAAGATCAAAAGAATCCTTCCCCTACCTTCTAATCTCAGTGAAAATACACCTTGCTCTTCCTGGCTCCATTTGTTCAACCAATGTCAAACCCAAAAGTCAGCAATTTCATCTTGAATCCTCCTAACATTTGGACTTTGGAACACTGTTGTAAAGACAACTTGATCAAAAAGATTTCAACTCCTTAGCCTTTTTACCCATATTTTTTACAATGGTTGTTTTTCCACATCCTCCCAGCCCATACTAGCCTATCATATAGCCTCCATCATCTTGTATTGCCTCCAAAAGTTGATTATAGGCTGACTTTGTAGATTCAAAATATGTAAAATGGTCAGAAGAGAAATATTCAATGCTTGGAAATGTAGCAAGGTGTGAAAATGGCTCAAATGCTATTTGTGTTCAGCTTTATCAGTGTTTTGGTTTTCTTCATCATCTGCTTTGACAAATAATGTTTCCTCAGGTTAGAACAGAATCCTGGAAGACTTTTGTTTTCCTTCATTTCATGTTCCAAATTCTCTACCTCTTCCAGTAGACTCTTTACTACATTCAACCACCTTTCTACAACATTTTCAATTTTTTCAGTTTTATTAGCTTCCTCAACACCATTTTGTACATTGTCTCTTGTTAATGTCAACTTCTGCTTTTTATCGTCGAGATCTTTGATGATTTTTCTTACATTAAACAACTATTTTCCTTGTTGTATTGTTGGTTTAAACAAATATTCTGTAGCTTTAGCACCTGACAACAGAATCATCTGTACTGATTAATTATAATCCATGTATATGAAATATATTGTGTGAATAAGATTTTGTTAAATGATGGACAGATGGAGAAGCATCTTGCATACTTATTCTTCAGAATCAAAGTATAAAATGGGTGAATGTTATTTTTCGCTAAACAATTGAAGCAAATTCAGCTGTATAGGCATAATTTGAAGATCTAGATTTATTACATTAAATTGGGTTTTAGTGTGTTTTGTGTGCCTACGATCACGTTCTTCCTGATTAGTAGAAAGGAAAGGAAAAATATGTTTTATTCTAGTGAAATCTCGAAGTTTTGCTTCACTTACTATTCCATTTCTGTATTTATATCTTATTAATCTCACTTTTTTCTCATTGGAGGACATGAAATCTTTTATCCACAATGGTTTGGTTCATTGCATATACAAATCTTATTTAACACTGTTCTCTAGCTTGTTTTTCTCTTGAATCCTTATTGCTGATCATCGCTATTACTCTTTGATCATGTATGAACTTCAAATGTTGTCTCTTCTATAGAAAAATGGCAAGTCTTTTTTTCTACTTCTGAATCACAAATCTCAAATTAGTGTATAAATTGGTTCAGTGACATGACATGTTAAAAATTTTGCTTGACGTTTTACAGACGATGGAATGTCATCTAAATAACAAGGTAATAAACAGAGAATTGCAAGCATGTCAATAATAAAAACAGACTTGTAGCACATATATGGCAAGTATGTGTAACGATACATCATATATCCATTCACATTATTTACAACTCCAATCAACATTACATCAAACAAATAGATAGTCTAATACTAATAATAATAACAGAGTAAAACGCTCATAATAAATAGATAGTTTACTTATGATAATTTCTAAATTTTACCTACAAAACAGCACAGATTAAGATAATGTTCATTAAATATGATGTATAAAAATCCAATGACAAGAATGTTGCATACCCGTTCATAATTATGAAACCAAAAATTAAGGAATCATCTAAATGCCAAACAAATTATATCCTCCCCCCTCCCAAAAAAATTTGGCAAAAAAAGGAATGATTTTCCATAAAAACTAAAACCATATCTTTCCTCTTTGGATCTCAATCCAAAAACACTAGTCCTTTGGTGAGGCAACTTACAAGAAGGCTTTTGTAGAATTTCTAGAGGTTCAGTCTGCTCTTTCTGTTAAAACGTTCTTCTGAAATCATTAGAAGAACAAAAATGTTGAAGAAAAACAAGGAAAAAACTCTACTTGTCCATTAAGCAAACCATGATCCCAAGTAACTACGGCAAGAAGTTGGCAACCAACAGACATCCATTTTAGAACACGAAAGAAGGTAAAATTCTTCATTTCCCGGGTCCACACATACAATCAAATAAAATACATACTAAAAAATTTTAATATACTACTTTAGTTTATTACCAGGAATATTTAACTTAATTTGAGTTCAGTAAAATAAAATATAAACAAGTACAATAAATCATTATTTTTCTTATACAAATTATCAAAATTTAAATTTAATAGGTTTAATATTTTCAGTTTATTGGGATTAAGTATAAATTTTAAAATCCCAAAAAAGATATTTAAAGTCAAATAAAATTGAGTTAGGCAAAATATAAAAACTTATAATACTTTTCCCCACGTAAAAGCCGATAGAAGACAAATGCTCACCCTCACACATGAATACATTTCCCACATGTACAATTCTTCTACTTATAGCATAATGGACCTCTAAATGTATAACTCTCTTCCAGTTGGGAGCATCTTCCGACAAGCTCATAATAATCCTCCTCAACAAAACACCAAAACAAATCCAATTACCTCAACTTATTTAGTTTTGTGATCCCATTGGGAAAATTTTTGAATCTACTAAGTGTGTGCTTGGAAATAGTATTTAGTTAATGTTTATTCAATAAACTTTTTTCAAAACGATCGTTTATGTCACAAATTTAACGATAAAAATTATTGAGATAAACTGAAAATAACTCATGTTAACAAGTTATATCAATAAACTTATTGAAATAAGCTGAAAATAATTTATGACAGTCAAATGTCATTTTTCATAAACTCTTGTAAATAGACTAAAAAATGCAAATCAATAATTTCTAACTCAATTCAGCTTTCCAGAAAAAAAATGACACCTAAATTCCAACACGCACCAGAACTCGGAGATTAGTTAACAAGTGGGTTAATTGTGGCAGTGATGGCAAGATTACCTCTCCATAATTTTTAGAAATTATTGCCATAACTTTGAGCACTTTCAACACTTCTAAATACACATTTGACAATTCAAAACCACTTTTAGTAGTATCAACAATAACATTATATCAAGCTTAGAAGCATCCAATTGATGAGGAAGTTGATCTTTTCCTTCATACCATGAAGATATAAAACTCTCATTTGCCTTTGCTTCTAGTTCTTTTGTCACATTTACCTTGATGACACATCCCTCAAGAAATGTCACCCAGAGAGCTACATAACGGACCACATGATGCATCTTCACATGGACTTGTCCTTCCTCACAATATATTATAAGACAAGAATCTATTAGCTTGTTTATCCACACATTCACACACCTCCTTCCTATGGCCACTGACTTAACATCCCCAAATAAATCTTCCTTACTGATTTTGTGAATTTAAGGAAAC